ACCTGTTCTACCAGAAGATATAGTATTGTAACTGTATTACTGATTCTTATTCTTCAGGAATCCTTCCAATAAAAATACGTGGCAGTGGGCACAGAGTAGAAAATACAACATAATAATTAAGAACCAGTCTTATTTAGCCCTGAACCTAAATCCTGTTTCTGGCATTTATTAGTAATACACCTAGCTAGGTTAGTTTACTTTTGTGACTAAATTTCCTCATTAGTTTGATGAGATCATAATATATAAAGTCTAGGAATAAAGGATAAAATGCGATGTTTAATGGTAAGCACACAAATGATAATTATATTTCATTCATTCAATAAAATGTTTTGATGACCTTAACAAATGTTGATGCATGAAGGCATGTAAGGCGCAGCCATGTAATTGTCTCCTGAACCACAGTCATGTTTTCCGGAGGGTAACGTGTGGATGAAAGCAGACTTTTGCTCTTTACGCACCAATTTCGTGGCACTGTCACCACCAAATCGCTACTTTGTGAGCACCACAAAAGTCTACTATAGAGACCAAGACAAATTGTGATACTTTCTAGTTCTGTAGAATTTTTCATCCATCTACATTATCCTTATTATTGTTTTGGTTAGTTAGAAGTACCAATTTAAGAATCAGAAACAGGTTTGAACCCCAGCTCTACCAAACACTAGTGAGGAGACCTATGGCTAGATAGTCATTGCTTCATGAAATAAATGGTATAATATCTTTTTTTGTTTTGTTTTGTTTTTTACTTTAGTTCATGCCAGTGACACATAATTTATAGATGTCACCCATTTTAAGTTGAGGTGGATGAATTCTGAAAAATACCCATGTAACCACAGCCACAATCAAGAGTAGAACATTTCCTTCACCCCTAAACCTTTCCTTATGCCTTTTTCCTGTTGGTCCCATCTCCACACCTAGCCCTAGGCAACTGCTGATTCTGTTCTAGAATTTCATATCATTGGAATCATGCAATATGTACTAGGGTATGACTTCTTTCACTCAGAATAATATTTTTGGTATTTTTCCATCTTGTTATAAATGTCATTAATTCCTTTTTATTCATTTCATTGTATGTAGATGCCACAGTTGGTTTATCCAGTAATAGTTAATGGACCTTGAAGTTTATAGTTTTTGGCCATTATGAATATTTGAGTTTTAAATATTTGAGTTAGTCCTTGAAGTGTATATATTTTTTATTTTCTTGGGATTGCTAGGTCACATGGCAAATATCTGTTTAACTTTATAACAGACTACCAATCTGTTTTCCAAACAAGTAATTGTACCATTTTATATTCCCACCAGCCACATATGAGAGTTTCAGTAGCTCTATCCTTGCTAACCCTTGGTAGTGGTAGCATTTTTTTTTTAAATTAATTTTTATTAGCCATTTCTAGAGAGTGGGCAATCGTATCATATTGTGGTTTTAATTTGTATTTCCCTGATTACTAATAATTAGGAGTACATTTTCAAGGGTTTATTGGCTGTTTTACACCACAAATGCAAGCTTACCTCTTCTTTTTCTCTCCTTTCTTAGATATTGGTTTTATATGGTCAAAAGTCTCTTTCATAATTTTCTAGTACTTTCAATGGATAAAACAAACTTTTAGCCCATCTTTTGTAGTTGTTTTGAGGGTTTCAATAATCTAAACAAAACCCAGGCTATTAGTACTGGGAGTGTGTTTTTGTTTCTGATTATAAAGGGAATGAATCTAACGTTGCACTGAGAATAATGTTTTCTGTGTTTTCCATTAATTTCTCCTAAATTTGATTTTTCCTTCCTTTTACTTTTTATTTACATTGCTGCTAACTTTTGACACTTAATTTGTTTTTTCTTTGTTCTCTTTAATAGTTTAATTAAAGGCTATACATGTCCCCTAAAAAAAACCCACAAGAAGTATTTGATGCACCCACAAAATTTGAGCTATACAGTATATTTAGTAGCATGTAATTAAAATTATTTTCTAAACTCCATGTTTACTTTGGTACATGTTATTTCAATTGCAATATAATTTTCCTAGTTATCTTTTTATTATTGTTTTCTACTTTCATTTGATTGTGGACAATTATCTGATTGATTTTGATCCTTTGAAATTTTTTTTTTTTTTTTTAATGGCCTGGTATTTGGTCAGATTTTGTAAATGTTTAGAATGTGCTTGCAAAAGAAAAATCCTATTCTTCAGTTATTGAGTACATTTTATGAAGGCAAATTAAGTCTATTTTTAAATCACATTGTACAAATGACCATAGTCCATAGTTGTTTTTTTCCTATATGGTAGTTTATACTATTCCAACTTGATTAAGCTGGAGCTTCATTTCCAGAAGTCTTTTCTTTGTATGATATCTGGTTAAATTTGCAAAAAAAGCAGACGGAAGCAGCAGCTATTTCTCTCTGAAGGTTTGGAGACCAGAAATTGTGAAGGACACACACAAAGGCATCCATCCGGTGGGCTCTAGCTTGTTCTATTTTCCACTCCATGTCCAGATATCTTCCTGACCAGGAGTGGCCCAAGCCCATAAGTAAAGCTTGGCTGAAAACTCACAGAAGTAGTAGCTATACAGAAGCAATAGCTTTCCATAGACTTCTTCAATAGCTTGTCTTCCTGGCCTCATGCCAGCACCTGGACATCTGTACATGCTCCAATTTGTCCACTAATGGCAGTGTTTTAGGAAAGCAGGCCCTCCAAATCTCCCTTCCAGACCTTTACCAGTTTCTTCCACAATTTCGAAAGGCCAATTTTCTAAAACAAATCCTTTATTCTATAAGAGTCATAGTTTTGCTGTCCTGATAAAATCCTATCTAAGAATCCATTTGTTCTTTTAAATACTTAGAATGTAATGTATTCACCATAATTTCTGGTCGGTGCGCACTTTTCTTAAATATATTGATAAAAGCAAGTATCTTATCATCCCTTTAAAAAATATAAGTAGAAACTACGGGTCTAGGGCTCTTAGGGCATAAGATTTCAATTACTTCAGCATGCTGCAGGAATAGAGGGGTTTTACGAATTTGGAAATCCTGAGTGTGTGACTTGACATACTTCCCTAATGGGTTAGAATGGTAAATGAACATTTGAGAGTTATTACAAAAAATGCTTTAGGCTAAGGAATTTGGCATTTCTATGAAATTCTTGTCAATCTTAAAACCCCAAAGTTAACTTTGAAGATATTTTTAAAGCTCCTCTCCCAGAGGCTCTGTTCTTAGAGATCTAGGATGGGACCAAAGGACGTGCATTTCTCACAAGTAGCCCAGATTATTCCAACAAAGATAGTCATGGACTTCTTTTTGAGACAGATGGCACTAGAAAAAAATTCAGAAAATATCTCAACATACAATTTGTCTCCTTCGGCCTTTCTATTCACCTATATGACCTCCCAAATTAGAAAAAATAAAGAGGAAAAACAACAAAAACTATCACCATCTCCAATTTTTCTGGACCAGCCAACTTCTTATTTCAAGGAATTCGCATCTCTAAATGTGACAAACGTGTAACTTTGTGATTAAACATGTTATATGTAATATACTTTAATATTACTAAACATGATTTAAAAACCTTTTAGAGTACTCAAATTCAGAAAAATTATATCAACTTTTACAAAATGAACAAGTTGAATTCATGTCAAAATATAGTTTAAAATTAAGTATTATATTATTCACTGCATGAATTTGAATCTCTTGAGATTTATGTTAACAGCAACTTTCTCTCCATACCTGGGCATAGCCACCTCTTCATCCATGGGCATGCACACACGCACAATTTTAAGAAAGAAAAAAAAGAAAAAGCAGAACTTATATTCTTGGTTAACAGCATGGCATATAATCACTCATAGGAAAGACATACTTAGTCAAATATTTTTGGGGGATGAAAGCAGGTATCTCACACACACTGAACCACACTATTCTTTTTAATAGTCTCATGAATTTTTACATCATGCTGGAATAACTGACGCACTTTAATTATTACACATAAAGTAGAAGAGTAATAATTTGTCTGGAAAAGGTTTAATGTAACACTTATAGTGAATCATGGTAGCAGACCAATGGTACTTGCAATGCTATTTTCCTTAAAACATTATTTGATAAGATAACAACTATTGCTAATTAAAAACAACTAGGAGAGAATTTTTTTCAAAACAATAAACTCCTCTTTTGAATGAGTAGTACGAATTCCTCACACCGAACGGAATTCAATCAACAGAGATCTAGGGATACACATTACATCTGACACTATAAAATCACTTTAGAATCAGTTTTACTTTCAATACAACAGTTTCCAACATGAAATTTCTTTGGCATTTCTCTCACCTTCATTAGATGGCTTAGGAAAGACATTCCTCTCGCCCCTCCCCACAGCTGCTCCACACCGCCTCCCAACACCTCTCTCCCGATGGAAACCTGTGGAGGTTCATAAGAAGAGAACTCAATCTTATCTCCTTTTCCCACCGTCCTTCCTCTTATTATCATCTTCTTTCCTTCTTCTCCTTGATAACTTGCTTAACAACTTAGATAAAAGAAGAATGTTAAATCCAGGAGGAGTCATGACATACAGCAAAAATAAGACAGCATTCCATTTAATTAAGATATTCCCTTCTTGATGGATTCCTCTACAATAAAGGTTTTGAAGTAGATTCTGCTTCTTGTGTTCAAAGAAAAACTGATGAAGGCAAGGACTGGAGATGACATTTGAAAAGCATTAGATATTTTTCAGCTTTTGCTCTTAAAATTATTTCAAAGAAATCTCAAATGCTTCCTGGAACATTTCCGAAAAAAAACAAAAAAAGTAATTATTGGTTTGATCGGATGATAAAAACATCTGCCATGCTTACATTTGGTAGTCAGGTGCTCTTAATTCAGCCCTCCCATAATAAACAATGGGTTTAATTAGATAAGACAAATCTGAGTCGATTTGGCTTCAGATTTTGGCTAGCAAGCTTTTGGGTAAGTGATGAATACCTGTATTTCATTTTAAAATCTGTGAAATAAGGAGAAAGTTCTTGGTAGAAAGTTGAAACATGAATACAAAATATTTATTGATATATTAAAAGGAAAACATCTACCAGTCATGGGGACTGTTAACTGATCTTAAAACAATTTCCTCCTTGTTTTTCATACATCCTAGAAATCCAACACTTGAGTTGGTTTAAGATTGACGTGTACAGACAACTGTGACATAAATATGTCTTTACTTTCTTAAAATCTATCTCTATAAATACTGGTAGGCCATAAAAATTAAAAGCTATAAGAAACCAATTTCCACACTCTTATTTTTATTAGCACCCAGGAAGGAAGCAATATGAGCTGTGCACAATGAACAACATTTTACTAACACAGAATTTGAGTTTAACAATCCAAAAATACTGCATCTGTGGCTTATTTCATAGTAATGCTGACTAGTTTTTCCCCCCAAAAATATATATATCTCCTCCCCATGTGAAATCATGCTTAAATAATAAGATCATTTCAAATTATACACAAATGTTCATAAGATCTACCCAGTGGATTACAAATTATTACTGCCAATATTGGGGAAACTGTTTCATGGTTTTATAATATTCTTGATCCTTAGTTCTAAGTGCTTCGTATTGATTATTAATTGATACCACCTGCCATATACTTAATACTGGCAATTCCACAGTAACATATTAGCATCAAATAATGAAATGCTACTTTAAAAAAAATATTTGTGGTAAAGTTTCTTCTTTCATGCACAACTAAAAAACACTATTCCTTGGAACTGAAGTGTAATTTAAAACTACAGATTCAAATAATATATAATAGAACTACATCTCTTTATAGTGTTAAAAATATATATGAAACATTTTTTTTAAGAGAAAGAACAAGAACTAGTATACATGTGCCATAGGCCTAAGTATGAAAGAAATAATTCAACAATTTTTTTTTTCCACTTAGCTAGCAAATCCATCACCTCACACTTATTTAGTCGATTCACTTTTGGTGTTACATTCTGTGCTTGATGTTAAATTGACAATTTCTCTAAATCATTTGAGATGTTACATCACATCAAATCAACAGCCAACAACACCACTTGTGTGTCAAAGGCATAGAGACAAGGCACTGAGTATTGAATGAAGAGATGAATCAGTAAGAGGATTATAAGCTCATTAAAAGATGTGAGATTGCTTTAAACAAAAAGATTGAATTTCATAAACAATTTGTACCTAACTTATACAAATAGCTAATGCTATTAACAGGTTTCATGATGCACAATAGGCACTGTAGAAGACAAATAATTTTAAAAAATAATTTAAAGATTTTTTATATTAAGGTAAATAAATTAATCAATATGCATTGTCTTGCATTCCTTAACTACTAAGAGACATTTAATGCTCTATAATATCTTTCATTTATTTGAAGACCTGAAGCAATCTAATAACTTAATGCTCTTTTCCAGATAAGACAATCCAGTCTTAAAACTATTGTTACCAAAATGTTATCTTTAAAGAACTGAGTTGTTAGTCTTTTGTTGAAACCCAAACGTTCAGTCTCTTGAAAGATCAGTTCTGCATTTACCTGGAAGGACTACCTGGGATTCTGATGTAAGTTTAACTTATTCAGGACAATTTTAGAAACAAACCTTCACCATGATATTCACCCAATATTTTTAATATGTGAGTTTTCTTATGTCATTTGATTTTGGTTTTTCATTTGTATAGTCTAAAATGGCAGGAATACGGCTCATTCGGCCTCTTCACTTCTTTTATTTTTGTCCCAACCTTTTTCTTGATGGGAAAGAGATGTAAACCCACTTGAAGACCATGAAAATGTGCAGATGCCCTGGAAGGTGAGGGGATAGCCCAAGTTTAATTATAAACTGCAACATTCCATGATTTTCCAATATTGTAATTCCACATGCACTTTTAACAATCATTTCTAGAATCTCAGAAAAAAACATCTAGGGAGCAGACAAGTGGTACTCTTCCAACTTCTATCAAAGTGTACAAAAACTTTGAGTTAAAAAGAAAAAGAAGAAGAAGAAGAGGTAAAATGAACACATAGCTTCTGGCCTCTGGCCCAGGGAAAATTGTGAAGCCAGACAGGCAACCAGCTGCTTACTCATTACGTTGACTAGATTGTTGATTTAGCCAGCTGTACTTTGTTTTCCTGAATCATGACTTCCTTGACAAATTCATTAGAATCAGTTTTTAAGTTCTCTTTTAATTGGTTAAGCTCAAAGTCATGGAGAATCTTGACAGTCATTAACTTTTCTCGTTTGATTCTTTCCAGAACATCTTTTGAAACATCGGGGATCATCCAGGCCAACAAAAATTTAACTAAAAACACAATATGCTAAAGGAAACAGAAGAAACCAGAAATACTGTTAGAACTGTCAAATGTTCAGCAGAAAGTTCTTACAAATCATTTCATTCATTCAGTAAAATGTGCTCGACAGAGGAGGTACAAGGAAAAGCAAAAAGACATGGTCCCTATTCTAGAAATTTCCAACAAAGACGAATCAATATTAAACAAATAAATACTAAAATATGTAATACAGAAATTCCAGTCTGGACATCATTATTAAATATGCTCTTTATCTCTGCACCTTCCTGAAAATGTAATAAAATATTTCCAAAGAAATTTACAAAAATGGTATAACTTACAAAAACAGAAAAGGGAGGAGACAGTGATAGACTCAAGCGAGTAAAGAAGCTGGCACGTAAATTTGCAATTGGTGATATGAAGATGGTAGAAACCAACAAGACAAAAGCCAATTTTGTTTCAGATCATCAGAAAAGTTCAGGAAATAAGGTACCAAAGACGTTGAAGGCATAAGTGTTGGGGAGTTGAAAACAAGAGGATTAGTTAAAAATTTGTATAAGGAGCAGTATAATTTTCAGAACCCTTCACTCATCTGTATCCAGGTATTACTTCTCTCTAACCCCATCCTGGTAGCAACCGAAATTAGAACAGAAAACTGTGGACTCAGTGACAGTAAAGATGGTGAAGGCTGGAGATGTGGCACAATACTGAAAACAGGGCAACTAAATGAATTGCAGCATACTGAATTCTTAGATTCCTAGTCTCTTCTGCCTTGCTCAGATCTCAGAACATAGGCAGCCATGAAACAGCTCAACAGACAGGAGGATGGAGGACTGACATGTTTTTGTTTATTTATTATTACTATTTTGAATTCATCCCAGGCTCTTATTCACCATCATTCTGGGATTTCTCTTTAATTTCTCTTATATTAAATACTGTTTTTTCTGCAATCTATGTTTCTCTCATTCTTGCATAGCTTATTTTAATGAAGTATATCTTTCAGTAATTTTCTGAGGAAAATTATGGGTGGTCAGTTTTTGAGATCTCGAATTTTAAAAATTTCCCTGAAAAAATCAAAAGTTCCTGGTGCAGTTTACCAGACTGAAAGGTGATCTAAACTTCTGATGAAAAATGTGAGAATGAATGAATGATAAATTCATAAAGTGAGAGAGAGAGAGAGAGAGAGAGGAAAAACATGGGGAGAAATGTTACCTAAGACTGCTCTTTTTTATTATGTAGAATTATTTGAATTTTTAAATTAGTTACATGTATAACCTTGATAAAAATAAATTAAACGAAAACTGATTGGAATTTGTGCGTATTTGCATTAGACTTGTCCAGTACTGGGCTTTACTGTAGAGTGAAAAAATGCCTTACAATGATCTCTTCTTTATTGGCCTTCATGTATTATGATTTGTAGCACTCAAATGTAACTTAGTCAAGTACCACCTGTGTATTCACTCTTTTATTGCATGTGTTATGTCCATAATTGTATTAGATATTCCACAAAAGAGAAAACATAGTAGATAGAGCAGAGGCTTGAGAGGGAGATATCGGGCATTAAAACTCAGGTCTAATATTAACTGATTATCATTAACAAAATATCTAGTTTGGCTGAGTCTCAGATTTATTTTTCAAGGGTGAATAATAAAGTTTAACTTACAGATTATTATTATAGCCTCTGGAACTAGTATGTAATAGGTATTCAGTAAAATCAGTGGGTGTTCTGCCCTTTTCCTAATCTCAAGGGAGGAAGCCATATTTTTTCTTTTGTCACCTTGATATCTTCAGCAATAGTAAGTGAAAAATAGGCAATCCATTGTACTGAGAATATCCCTAAATTACTTTTTATGACAATAAATACTTCTGTCAAAACAATTCGAGATAATGTTAATTTTCTGCTGAGCAGATATCTTTAGAAATATATGACTAAAAGGAGACAAACTGGAATAAAAGTTAAGAAAGGCTTACCTCCATAACTATGATAAAGGTCATCTTTGCAGCAAGGACATGCCAGAACTGCATGTTATGAAAGTATTTATGATCATGATCAGGAGGATATCTATAATCTCTATACCTAAAAAATAGAAATGAAAAAAATTAGCTATGGTTTCAAACAGAGAAACATAGCATACATTCTTATTGTTCCTCTTAAGAGACCCTATTAATTGACCACAAAAGCCAAGTCATAGTAAAACAATTGCTACTTTTCTTGTACAGATAAAAATCATGGGCAAATATTGCTTATGTATAGTATAGATGTAGCAGAAGACATACATGAACTCCTCTTCTGCCCTTCAAAGACAAATTTTGCCATCTCCATTCCCTTTCTTCCTACTTCCTACTCCTTAAAGTTGATTCAAAAAAATAAAAAAAATAAAAAATAATAAGTAAAGTTGGTTCTGTTCATCACTCCATTGAAACCAACTGTCTCCTGTCATTAAATTGAAGGAATATTTTAATTCGCATCTTATTTGATCTTTCAAGAATAGAAACTGACATTGTTGACCATTTCTATTTTCTTGAAACTCTGTTTTCTCTTGCTTATCTGACACTGCTTTGTTTTCATTTTCCTTACTATCCTTCTGGAGTTTTCTTAGTGCTCAACTTTGTGATCTCATTGTTTTCTACAAAGTTGCTAGACAATGATGTTCCTCAAAGTTTTAGTCTGCCAGTGAGGGAGTGATGGCATCAAGAAATCTGACTCAAGTGACTATGCTCTTAAAGATTATGCTATGATTCCTCTGTATGCAAATATAGAATATAACAATGCTCGGTCTACCTGTGTTGCAACATTTTGCTGTTTCTTTGTTGGAATCCCAGATGAAGCAGTTGGTTTAAGATTTAAGTTAAAGAGCATTGGTGTTCTATCTATCTATCTATCTATCTATCTATCTATCTATCTATCTATCTATCATCTATCATCTATCCAAAGAGTATATATATATATATATATATATATATAATCTTTAAATTCTTCAATAAAAAGATCCTCACAATACATGAGACACTAAGTATGGAAACAGTAGGTTCACAGATTCAATTTCACACTCCTTGCATAGAAGAAACCCTTTAAGTGGGGTGGATGGTGAAGTAATCATATTTTTATTTCTTTCTTACTCTCTCATTTTTTTGGTTAAATTCACATAAGTTAAATGCACATATAATACAATCATGCTGCATGATCTGTAGATATTATCACTTGGGATTAAGGGGCATTTATTGGTGAGAAATCTTTCAAATAAATTTAGGAAATAAAAAATAATTTGAAATTGACATTATCTTTACCCATAATATTCTCTTACTTTGGGACATTCTACTTTTCCAATTTAGAATCATACAATGTGTGAATTCTAGAATTGACACACTTTATTTATCTAGAATTTTTACTGTCCCAAGTAAATCCTTTACATTGCAAAGCATGGCAGAAATAGAAAACATAAGGAATACATTTAAAGGACAAAATTAAAACTTAAGAAAACAAGAAGAAACCTGCAAGTGGTGAAGTCTCGTTTTTCCGAAGGCGCTGTGTGGTTTGGAAAATCAGCTATCAGGAATATTGACAAACTGTTATTTACATATCCTTTCAGAGGCTTAACAGCATTTGTTGAGTAGGCATAGTAGTAAACTAAACGGGGAACGATGTCCGATGTAAATGCAACAATAAAAGCCTAAAGGACAAAGCAAGAGACAGATCATGAGCTAACAATCTAGCTTTAAAAATGTCCTATTTGTACATCTCTCAGTTCCGCGTGCCATGTGGATGCAAAATGAATAAAATGCTGTTACAAATCATGTTAATACATGAAGTAGCTCATTTATAGTATATGACTAGTATTCTGAGATTTCATAACTAAAAAGTGACTAAGTTGAAAATTGAACCTAAGTGCATCTGTCTCCAAAAATCATGCTCTTTCCGCCATGCTTTCTATTTGTTATACTTCTTAATGTTTCATAGCATAGTTCTACTGTCCTTAACCAAATTCACTTGCCTGGACCAACCCCATAAGTTAGGACAGTGTGAGTGTGAGTGTGTGTGTGTATGTGTGTGTGTGTGTGTGTGTGTGTGTGAGAGAGAGAGTGTGTGTAGGAGGTTGGTAGGGAGGGAACAGAGAGATAGAAGACCATGAGCTGGTAAATTTCTCACAGTGCAGTACAATTAATTTCAGTATTTGATTTAATAGAAATGCCACTTTCCCATCTTTTCCTAAGCTACAAATATCATAAACAACATGTTTCCTTGAGGTTAGATAAGTCGATTTAAAACCATCTGGCTTTGCCATCTATATTTTTACTGGCAGATTTTAAAAAACTTTAAGATTACTTCTATAGGTACTGGTCCATTTAGGTTTTCTATCAATAAATTTGGCAGTTTTTCTTTTCTAAAAAAGTGAGAATTTCAAATATATTTTAAAATTTATTGGCATAAATATGTACATAGCAGTCCGTCAATTTTCTCACCTGTACCTTGTAACTTTTTTCTTGTTTGGTATTTTCAGAATTCGCGTATGTTATTTTTCTTTTCAGTAAGCCAACTTTTGATTTACTAAGCAACTATATTGCCTTTTCTTTGTTTTTTTTTTTTTAATTTGATTATTCCTGATTACATCTTTATTAATTCTCTTACTACTTTCTATTACTTCTGCATTTTCCCTTAGTTTTAAGTTAAATGCTGAGCTTATGTTTTCCAGTCTTCTTTCTTAATAATAAGAACATTTATTGCTATAAATTTCCTGTACCTATGATTTTAGCTGATTCCTAGAATTTTTCATTTTAATAAAGTACTCTATAATTTCAATTTTGTTTCCTCTTTACATAATAAAGTGGACTTAAAAGAGTGATTTTTAAGTGGTTATTTGTTCTTTTTGACTATCTTATTACCAACTTTACATACTATTACTGTAGGTGAATATGCATTGTAAAATTTCTGCTTTGGGGAATGTAGTTTTATTTTCATTTCTCAGTAAGTGCTCCATAGAGATAACGTAAATGTTGTGTATTCTCTGTAGCATACGACTTTACATATAACCAAGTTTTAATTGTATTATGCAAATCCTTTATACCATAACTTGTTTCCTGTCTACTTTGTCACATGCTATGAAATTGTATCCTGGAATTTCAATGAGAGCGATTTTACAGTTTTCTTTGTATTTCTAAGAGTTTACATATCACAGATTTCTCTATATTGTTTAGTGCATAAAAGTTGAGGGATGTTTTATCTTTATAGACTGTCACCCTGACGAAATCAATGTAAAGAAAGATTGAGTTAAGCACTGTTCACATCCCCCCTTTCTCAAGAAAACAAAATAAAATAGTCACCCCACTGAAACAGGTCCACTTACATTAGTTGCAACAGAAAGGACAGCCATTCCATAAAGAATGTCTTGCCAAACACCTATGCTATGGGCTTTAGCAGCTACAGGTCTCCTGTACTGCGTAGTAAGTTTCCAGGCATCCACTCGGATCTCTATAACATTATTGAAGAGAGCAAGAAGAGGAGCCAAAGGAAAAGAGGCCACAAATAATGTAACAAATCCAAACTGGATAACTGTAGGGAATTTTTGAAAAAAGAAAAATTCGTGAACTCATTATTGTGGAGAGGAAAAGGGAGAACACTCTGCCTAACTCCTGTCACTTCCTTCATTTTGGAAGGATCTACACCAGCAAAACACTCCACGCCTCTTTCTATCTGCCCGCTTCCTCCTCCCCATAAGAAGCATAGTGACTTATCTGCTTACTAGAATAGGAAGGAGAAACAGGGCATGTATAACTCAATTCTGCCCTTACTGTTTCTTTTGATATCTGCTGTTTAAGTATCTACTCTTGTTAGATAAGACAGACTTAAAACATAGTCTTTTATTATAGGCTATGTTTAGGTCTATACTTCTCTACCTTTTACTGTGGTATTGCCATATTAGTAATGAAGTTTTTCTACCTTGCTTAACTATCTACCTTTTGAGATCATGAATAATTACTGATTCATCTGTGTGTTTCCAATGGCCATCATGTGCTGGGTATATAAAAGTACTTAACTACAAGCCTATGAACGAATGCATTATTTAGGATTTGAAAAAGCTAACAGATGAAAAGGAAGTGCAAAACAAGATATTCAGAATAAACCAGAAAATGAATCATCTAAAGCATCAGAAATAAAAATAAATTACATGTGGGCAAAAGAGGGTAAAAGAAAGATACATTTTCTGGAACACAATATTTGTTAAGGTCCTGATCCTCTGTACTAACTTGACAATTTCCTAAATAAGTTTTATTCTCTTCCCTCATTAAGACTTAACATCTGTGTAAGCTGGCTTCTCTCTCCATTTTTATTCTTTTGTTTCCAATTATGCTTGGGATAGAAGAATCCATGCAACTAGCAGTCTGGGCTTCCCATATGAATGAAGAAAAATAATAAGATATACATGAATGGCTTTTCACTGAAAGAAGAAAGAATCTTCCCCTGGTCCTTTATTTTTAGATGAATCTTGAGTGTTTCTAGATATCAGCTTTTCTCATAAAAATCAGCCTATCATATACTAAGCCAAGTGAACAAATTACCTCTTTTCTTCCCTTCTCCACTGAGCCAAGAGATAAAAAATTAAGAGGAAATATGTAGAAAGAGCTTGAATTTTCCAGGTTCAAATTCTGTTCTTTATTTACCAAAAAACTTTGTGGCCCATGGCAAATTAATTAACCTATCCACATTTCAGTATCCTCTAAAATAAAATGCAGTGAATAATGACTAGTTTATAGAATGTTTCAAGATTAGAGATAATGTATGTAAAACATCCAGAATAAGTTAACTTCGGTGTGCCTTAATAAATGGTAATCGTATAAAAACTTAATTTCATCTTTTAATTTCACTGTTAATGTCTGATGCACTTATATACCTTCATTTGAAACTTACACAATTAAAAGTTACAGCCTTATCATCCCATAAATCAAAGACTACCTAATTTTATAGCCAGTTATATAAAATAGACTTTTTCCTATTTGTCTTAAATTTACCTATTTCAATTCAGGTATCATATGTATGTATTACAGTGGAGAATCAGTAACAATTTCAGGTCATCTCATTCATTCCACCATGATTGTATAGGCCTTAATAATGAGTTAAGAAACTGTCCTCCTAATTCCACAAAAGAAGAGAGAATGTCACTGAAACACTCTGAGTAAACTATCAAGTAGGACCCATCATTCTCTCTCCTAAAAGTTTACCTCAAGATCTTTTCTTTGTTCACTCCTTAGAATATTTTATTCATTTATTGTGTTCAATTTGAGTTTCCCTTGAATAACTGCTTTTAGCCTTCTTTTCAGCCTGACATAATGGACACACACTAAAAGTATGCCAGACTCTGAAAATGTTTTTCAACTTATTCTCTCTCTGAACTGTCACTAAGGCAAACAAAAAGAGAAATAGCTACATAAGCTAATTTGAGACAGGTTTTAAAAAGTGATCCTTACTTTTACTTGGTTCAACAATATTAACATTCAATTTATAGGAAAAATATCTCTAAGACTGGTGTTTTGAAAATAAACTTCATTCTGTAGTCTATTTGGTGGATGATGTAAATATTGAACTAATCTTTTCTATATCCTTCCCTCTATCTCTCACTCACCATCCAATGATTTATTGAATACCTACTATGTGCAAGGAAGGAAGAAATACTAAGAGCTGAAAAAAACACTTATTTTACTCAGTCTGACTTTATCATTCAAGACAAGTGATTGAAAATTACCTGTTTCTAAGTATTCATAGAATAGACCAAGAGATCCAAAAGTTTCAAGGTCATGATCCTGTTCCCATCGACTATATAACTTTTCAGAATTGGTCCGAGCTTTTCGGCGTCTCCACCAATTCAGAACCAAGCTGTTGGAAGTGATAAAATTAAGTACATGAAAGAGCGTTAAAAAAGGTGGGGGTCACAGAAGCAGAGTGTTAGATCTAGAAGCCGGCTGCAAGTGGGGTTAAGTAACTTAAGATCATGGAGTAAGTAGAGACATAGCTACAGCTAAAGTCCAAATTAAAATCTAATGTTATTTTCACAACATGCTGAGGTCAAAAGTTGTTTATGGGGTGATTAAGAAAATACCACAACTCTGCGGCTTCTGGACAAGATGGAGGAGTAGGTAAACGCTGTGCTCACTTCTTCCCAGATCACTTCAAAATTACAACTAAACTATAGAACAATCATCATTGAGAAGTGCCTAAAGACTAGCTGAACAGAAGTCCTAAGGATATACAGAAGCCATGTCAAGACTGGTAGGAGGGTGGAGATGTGGACTGGGCTGGTCTCATATCCATGTATGGTGGTTAAAATTCAGGAGGAATATCTCAGATTTAGAGGTCTTCTCCGAGGAGAAAGGAGTCCCAGGGCCACATCAGGCTCCCAAGTTCAGGGTTCTAGTGCAAGTAAGAGAAATCCCCATAACCTCTGCCTGTGAAAATCAGTGGAGATTGTGGCTGAGTAAGACGGAGGGCTGCTAGAGTCCCAGGTGTTCCTCTTAAAAGGCCTAGCAATGTACTTGTGCTGACAGACTCACTGGTTTTGAGCTCCAGAGCTGGGGCAGCAGCTTGAAAAGTGCCAGGGACATAAGGGGAGGAAGTGAATTGTCTGGTGTCAGGGCAAGGGCTGGAGGGGCAGCTTTCTCCTGGACAGAAGTGCTGGCAGAAACCATTGCTTCTTTGTTGAGACTTCCCCCAACCTAGACTACATATGCCAGCAGGCACCATATCTGAGTCTCCATCAACATGGCTAACACCGTTCGTCTCCCCTTTTCCCCTCGGTGATACCCTGAGACCCTACCCCACTCAACTTGTGGGATTACCCCAAACTGCTTCCAGCGGCTTTTCCATACAAACAGCCTGTCTTGGCTTATGCTGTGGACTTTCTCCGAAAATCTCTCAAAAATTCACAAACCCCAAACAAGCAGCATCTGGCCTCGGTGAGCCCTGTACCTCTTGCTAAACAGCCCCACACCTGGCACGAGCAGCAGTCAGACTCAGTTTGTAGCTTAGCATCTCCCAGGCACCTCCAAGCCCAGCACAAGTGGCAACCATCTGAAGATCACTTTGTTGCTCATAGCAAGTGGTCCCAGGCAGGATACAGACTAATCTTGAACTGCAAGAGAGCCACTCCCAAAAGGCCCCAAAATAACACACCCAGTGGCCAGCTACAGACCACACCAGAGCACCACCCGACCACTTCCACAAACAACACACCCAAAGAGCAAACTTAGCAGGCAATGCAGCTCTGCTAAAGTGAACCCTGCTCCACAGGGTCAGCCCCTGAACAGCATCTCCTCCACTAGTCACTGCCAGTCCTCAAGACCAATCAGCCTGAGGCTCAATCCCTCCCATTGATTTGCCAATAGCAATCAAGACTCAACTACTACAGGAAGGCACACACAACGCACACGAGTGACACACCTGGAGCACCCGACTCAAATAACCAGAAAGACTGTGCTACTGGGCCCCACAGGACATCTACTATATAAGGCCATTCTACCAAGCCAGGGAGACATAGTAGCTCTACCTAATATACAGAAAGAAATACAGGGAGGCAGCCAACATGAGACAAAGAAACATATCCCAAATAAAATAACAGAACTAATTTAATAGAGAAAGATAATGTTAAAATGTTTAAAAAAATAAAAAGTAAGTATATGAGAATATCTTTTTGATCTTGGGGTAAGGAAGGATTTGTTAAATAAGACAAAAAATGTGAACCCATAAAGAAAATATTAATAAATTCTAATATAGTAAAACTATATTGTTCATCTACAGTAGTGGTTCCCAACTGGGAGTGATTTAGCCCAGTATCTAGAAACATTTTTGACTGTCACACTGGGGAGAAGGTGGGCTACTGGCATCTAGTGGGTAGAGACTAAGGATATTGCTAAATACCCTACAGTGCAAAGGATAGCCCCTCACACAGAAGAATTATCTGGCTCAAAATGTCAATAGTGCTGAAGTTGAGAAACTGTGATTTAAAGGCTATTACAGAATAAAAAGACAAAAGTTATTTTGGGATAAAATATTTGCAAAACATGTAACCAACCAACCAAACAAAAACATGATGACCAGACGTTACAAAATATTCCTACAAATCCATTAGAAAAAGATAAGACAAGTAGAAAAATGGTTAATTAACACAAACAAGCATTTCATTGAAGAGGGAACACATATAGCCAAAAAATGCTCATTCATGTTATTCATCAGGAAAATGCAAAATAAGACCAAAATGAGATACCATTTATACCTTCCAAATTGGTAAAAATTAACAATAAGATAAGTACTGTAGCCAATGTGTATTAAAAAGAACACTTGTATACTGCTTATATCCAAACTGAAACACAAAGAGATATAATAATGTTGAAAAGAAAACAGAACGCCTGAGAATTTTGAGATAATATCAAAGAGATGGACATATGGAACTGGAGTCAAAATGTAAAGGAGACCAGCCAGTTCAAGAAAGAGAAGGGTTTCCATTTGCCCTATTCCAATAACAAAGTCTTCCATCCCACATAGTAACCATTATCTTGAATTTTATAATAATCACTTCCATACATTCTTAAAAATTGTTTCTCATCATGATTTGTTTTGAACTATTTTTGAATGACGTATAAGATTTACATTGAGTTTCATTATTTTGCATATAGACATCCAATTGTTCTAGCACCAGTTGTTGAAAAGACTGTTCTTTCTTCAATGAATTGTTTTTTTCCCTCTATCAAAAATAAAATGGCCATATTTTTATAGATTTATTTCTGCAATCTCTACTTTGTTCCACTGATCTCTCTATACGTTTCTCCCTTCATCAATCCCACTGTCTTAATATAGTTTTATAGTACATTTTAAAATCGAGTAGTGTAATTTCTCCATGTTTATTCTTCTTTATGAAAATTGTTTTGGCTATTCTAGTTCCCATCTATATAAATTGTATAATCTGCTATATAAATAGTGTATCTACAAAATCTTGCTATTTTTATTGGAATAACAAATCTATTTAATCAATTTGGCAGATAACTGGCATCTTTACTATGTCGCGTCTTCCAATCATGAACATGTTTCTCTTCATTTATATAGATAAAATATCTTTTTCATCAGAACTTGTAGTTTTCAGTATACAAGTCCCATATATTTTTTAGATTTATACCAACGTATTTTATTTTTCTGGAGCTAATGATTTCTGTACTGACCAATGTTTCTTGCATCCCACACCTCATTTTTTGTTCTCTTCTTACTCAAGTACATCTTTCATTATTCTTCCAATGAAGGTCAAGTCTATGAATGTAAACTCCTAGTTCTTTTTTTGTTTAAAATGCCTTAATTTCACCTGCACTTTATACAATAGTTAAACTGGTTCTAGAAATCTAAGGTGAACAATTATTTTCACTCACAATCTTCAAAATACTGTCTTTTGTATCTAATGTTATTAGTGAGAAATCTGTTGACAGTATAGATGACATTTCTTTTTCTTTGGAAAGATTTTAAGATTATCCATTTATCTATGATCTGTTGCTTCACAATGCATCTCGGTGTGAAATTATTTATCTTGCTTCATACTCAGAATTCATCTTCACATCTGGAACTCACGTTTTTCTTTGTTTTTGGAAGATTTTCAGTAATTACCTATTCAAAGAATTTTTTTTCCCACTATTTACTCAGTTTTCTTTTTCTGGAACTACCAGTGAATTAATGTGAAAGCCTATTAATATAGCCTCCTGCCACTAATTTTTTAAATCCCATTGTTGCTCTGTTGCATTGTACAATGTGGGAATATCTCAGTACTGTTTTATAATTCACAAATTCATTCTTCAGTTGTGTCCAGTCTGTACTTGATCCATCTATTGTATTCTTTATTTAAAGTGCCATTTCTCATTTATGTATGATCGATTCTTTCCCATATTCATTTGTTCTTGTTTCATTTACGTGTTTTTTATTTAAATTATTTCTGGTCATTTTTAATGACAGCATCATCTCCTTTTATGTTTTTAGGCTTTGCTAGAATCTTCTAGCTAGAGTAAGTTCATTTTCTAAAACCTGATTTCGTTTGCAGCTTTGGCAGTGTTAAATCTTGTCATAAGTTTTGAAATTTTGGTTTGTAGGCTTAATTTTACTCATTTCTTTTTTCTTTTACTTCCTTGTTTGTCTCTTTTCCTCTCTGTGCATATTTATTCTCCCTCTTGTTTTTGGTTTAGAGGTTACCTCCACTCTGCCATCCAGATTCTCAATCTAGAGCTAGGACTTAAAATATCAGTTTAAAGTTATTCCTCTGAAGCAATATAGGGATATCAAATACTATCTGAAAGGGTAAGTCTATCTTCTTTGCCAGCACATGAAATACTGCGGAATACTATGAAACTGTGGGCAGGAGGGTGGTGCGGGGAGAGGTAGGAATGAAAGGGAAAGTGTTTTCAACCTCATTTATGAATAAGGGAAAATAATACAGTCCTTGGCTTCAAATACAGTTAAACTGACCAATCACTTGTCTTAAATAAAGCACTTTTAGCCCACTTTATATGGCGGGTGTGAAACTCTGAAACTGTCGTTTTCTAAGTAGGAGCCTTACAAGATTATAGGCTTATGATACCTTCTCTTTTTGTCCATGGGGATTTTCATCTTACATTTGAGATTAACTGTCATTTTGGTTTTCTCTTTTTCTAATGTATTAATTATTTCTATGCTTTTAGAACAGATATCAATTAATGTATTAATTATTTCTATGCTTTTTGAACAGATATCAACGGATATCATGAACCAGCATTTCATTCATGACCAATTTTTGTGCCTAGAAGTGTCCGTGAAAAATGACTACTTTCACAGAGTTCAATTTTTTGTTATCTTGAGAAATAATATGCAACATGTAGAAAATCTACAGAGGATATAACATTTACATTTCTCAGTGGAATCTTCCCAGGAGAGGGGAATGATTACCTTTCCCTCAACTTGACTCAAGCTACGAAGATGCATATTTAAAAACCTGTATTACCTTAATGAATTCTTGACTGTTGATTAAAAGTAAATTATTTTGTCAACTTAAACATTTGCTAACAAAGGCACAATGATAACCGAAGAATTCCATCTAATTACAGAGAGAATCTCTCATGGTTACTTAAATCGAGCAAAAACTTTTAAGTCATACATACGGATAAATGGCTTCTTTCACATTTCCGAAGATCTGCTTCCCAGTCATGATGATGGTCAGCTGGGTCGTCAGTTCTATGAGACAGCCTCCAGGGTCACACTAGTCAGAAGCCGGAAGAGCAGAAAGAAGTGAAAGATGAGCGATGGAACTTTTGCAACAAAAGAAATCCCAATTCAGATCAGAATCTGAAGATTTGGGTTGGAATGGCTATTAAAGGATATAAAGGGATATTTATCTCAATTGTTCCAAGCGTGATCATAGACCAGTGCCAGGCTAGCTAGCTGCATTAGGTTCATGTTTGGAATGTGTTAATAAGAGATTTCTGGATCTCACTCTTAGAAAATTATGCTTCCATATGTCTGGGTTAGGGCTGGAAGTTGTTATTTTTTCCATGTGATTTGGATACAGTCAGGTTTGGAAACCACTGATCTGGTCTACCTTTTACCCATGGTGGAGCCTTTTTCTATTACTCATCCTTCGCAGGAAGCCTTCTAGAATATAGAACTTACTTATCACATTTCACAGCTCACATTTTACTACCATACAATAAGCATAATATAGCTTCTTGCCCAAAAAGAACTGGAAGAGCTATCAGATGACATGGATTTTAAGACCAATATTCTCTGTGGACAGAGTCACTGTCAGACTTCTCTTGCAACTTGAAAATATCTGAGTTAGTGCTGGACATAAAATAGTATTTAGTTAACTCTGAGTTACTGAAACCACAAATCTCGCCTCTCAAGAGAATCTTACCTCTTCACTTCTCCACACATTCAATAAATATGTGTATTTTCCAGGATAGCCCACAAATTTTCCTTTAAAGAAAGCTACGTAGAAGCAGGATGAGTAAAAATTCACAAACTGAAACAGGAACATTTTCAAGGTCAGGCTGCTTTCATACTCCTGGTAAGTTCGAGGAATTTCTGGTAAGTAAAAAAACACCAAGGTTTAATAATGCACCTTCTTGTTTCTCCTTAAATTTTGTAATCTCTGGGACAAGTAAATATATAGTCATATTATTCTGAGAGCCTGTTGAAATGCTTGCCTATCTGGTCATGACAGACCGTAATATTAACTACAGATCTGAACTAGGCTTTCTACTGGAGACTTTGTATTAATCTCATCACTGGAGAAGCCTGGGAAGCAGTTATTATTACATTTAGAGGGGTGAAATACTTGCCTGGAGTCACATAGTCAGAATATGGAATTCAACCCCATATTAGACTTAAGAGCCTTTTTCAAATTTCCATATACTATATGATATCCCGTAAATGCATTAGAAATCTCTCTCTGCTCTCTCGCATCTGTTTTCAATCCAGTTTTAACAAAGTAAACTTATATCAAGGGCAGAGGATGATTTCCAAACCAAACTGTGTTTTTCCCTCATAAATTAAATAACTATGTAAATTTTGAAAGCAATATCATGCAAATGGTAGCAGTAATACTACACATTTTCCCTCTCCTTATCGTGATCTATCATTTAATGAATTCCAAAGATAAGAAAATATTAGATTTTCTTCACACTACAATAAAGCATCATGAGGCATACAAAGGTAAAGAAGTATGTTTATCTGAGCTGCTGATCTCCCAATAGCATGAGTGGATCCAACCAAATCCATGACATTTTCAGCAATACTGAATAATAACATATTCTTCTAAAGACACAGATAACACCTCCATTTTAGTGAAATTTAGTTGCATTCCTACACAATCTCCTAAGTGAACACAAGTGACTTTTCTCATTGAAGAAAGCTGCGATTTTTTAAGTACTTCATTTTTAGGTGTTATCCGCTATAATTTTTTTTTCTTTGCTGTTGCTTGCAGAAAGAAAAAGAAGTAAAATTAAGAGAAAAGAACTCAAAACTGGAGGATAAAATTTGGTGAGAGCTGCCTCCCAGTGCTTCCTCTAGTGCTGCATGAAAATGTGTTCTTTCTGGTTCCGCTGGGCATGCTGTCACTGCACGATGGCAGAGGGGGAGCTCCTGGACGGAGCACTCAGAGGAGAAGCTGAGGCCTTGGGTAGTCTCTGATCTATTCCCAACTGTGCTGTGTGCTACTCTCCCCGATTGAATCTGCCCCTTCACCTTCCCTTGTGGCTTTAGGAGAAATTTTAATATTTTAAAAAGAAAATAATCCAGGTTCTAAGACATGGCAACTGAAAAGAGAAGGGCTAAATGTTATCTTTATTCGGGAGAAGCTGATTGTTCTATTTTTCTCATGATAGTTTTCAAAACCAAGTACTTGGTGAAAACCATACACAGGAAATAAAAAGTATCTGTGTCCTGTGAAAAGTGAAGAGTTTACTTAGAATTCAACTAACACCATCAAGGCAGATGAGAATACTCAAAAAGATCTATAGTGTTTTAATTCTTCTTTTTAGTACTTCCTGCTTCCTCTATAATGGCCTGAATGTAGCTATTATGGGATTCTGAAGTACCAGGCTATGGGTCTACCTATAGAGCAAAACTGCCTTAAAATGTGTTTTTAAAAAATTAACTCTCTGGGGGATGATCCAAAATGGATGGAGAGCATTGGTAGGAACCCCTTTTCAGAGTCACACTAATAATTTGGTCGGCTTACCCATTTTTGTAATCCAGGCAGACAGCTTTTCATAAAAAAAATTCAAGAACAAGATGATAATAAAGTTCAAGCATGATCCAGTGAGTGCTGTGGTTATCTGAGGAGTGAGGATACTTTTGACATGCTTTAAGGATGTTTCACTTTCCATGAAGCTGGCAAATGTAGCAAAGACTGACAGGCGGTATATAATCACAGCTACCATACAAGAAACGACAAGAGCCATCTGGGGAAGGAAAACACAGGTTGGTCATTCTGGTCTCTGCGGCGCCATGCTGCATACATATCTGAAATATATTAGTCTCTGCATCTCATTATATTACATTTAGCAGTTCTGACATGGAAAGCAAACCAAGTCAGCCTCTCACACCAAAGATGGCAGGAAATGAACAACAATAAGTTAAAAAGGTTAAAAATAAGGCGTATGGTAGCAGCTGAGTAAGCCTAAAACAGAAAAGTATTCATGGCCCATCCTCTAGGCCCATCCTAGAGCAAGAGTTAAGAAAATTAGCCAGAAAGCCAAATCCTGCTTGCGGTTTTGGCATGGCCCTTGAATTAAGAATGTTCTTTTTTTTTTTCCTTTTTTTTTTTTTTTGAGTTTTTATAGGTTGTAAAGAAAAACAAAGACAGTTATGTGCCAGAGACTATTTGTGGCCCAAAAAGCCTAAAATATATCTGGCCCCTTTACAAAAAATGTTTGCCAACCTCTGCTCTAGACTATAGTTAAACATGTAGTGTGAAGTTAAACTTACTTTCCCAAGAAAAATACACCTAAAGATTGTAGTTCATTTCCTCTTAGAATGTTGCCATTAGTGGTCTGATGTGCCTGCTAGTTTAGACATTTGTCGGATTTGCTAGAAATTTTATACACTTCCCATATTGCAAAAACACAAAGGTATAGGGATGGCTTTATATTAATAACTGGAATATTTTATTCTGAAAGTTGAGGAACTGAATCAAATTGAATAAATACTAGAAATAAAAGAATAATCTTTCTGGGACCACTCTCCAGAATATTTCTCAAGGTGTGTCCCAAATTCATTATTACTTGCTTTATTCTATCCTCTCTCCTCAGTGATTGTTTAATCGTCTAAGAAAACACGTCTTTAAAATAGAAAACCAGGACTTTTAACAAGAAATTTTAAAGATAAATTATGGGACAATATGGATTGATGAGGTTAAACTATGGTCCACAATTGATAATCTTATATACTTCAACATGAAAAACTCTCAAAGGGTAACATTATCTCTTTTCCTAAAATTAAAGTTCAACCGTAAGAGGACACAAATTTGGAAAAGGTGGGGGGGCAGGAAATAGATTATGATCAAGGACTCTATTAGCTAAAAGGTATGAAGAAAACATGACTCCCTCACAATGGGGTGTGATACTTAAATTCTTGAAGTAGAAGTAACATTTTCTTGTTTATCTCAGCGAGAGAATAAACCTTAATAGTTTGAGGGGTTTTCTTTTCATTCTGTAAATATATTTTAAGTAAAGATAAAGATAAATTAATAATTTTAAAAAACTAACCAAATAATCTGCAATCAAATTGTTTGTTAAACTGGTGTGGTTTCAAGTTATCACCTAATTAACAGCTGGGAGAAGGGGAGGGACAGGCTCTAAGACAAAGCTCCTCCACCCCCCACCCCCAGCTATTTTCCAAGGTTTAATTGTAGAACATCCATGTAAATTACTGCTTATTTTATATAGGAGCTCTATTCAAGATAAAAAGACTGTGGAGGAAAAAGGAAAAGAAAGAATTCAAGAGCCATTTCAGATACAACTATTGAGATAATGCTAATATGACTGCATGTCAAAGCAATGGTAACGATTTTAAAGAATGCTTACCCATAGTGTTACCGTGGCTCCTGATACAAAGTACCATGGAATACGACGATGTAGAGGCATGTGAGGTTCCATCTCCTGTAATTTTGAAGAAAGCACAGCAAAATTTAAAATCTGTCCTCAAAGTGGGGACTCTAAGAAGTAGTCAGTCACAAAGCCCAGTTAAAGTAACCACCTCCCGAAAGGGTCCAGTACAGCTCATGGAAAGCTACATTCTAGCAATGGTTCCTTCTCTTTCAAGTAGAAAGCTTCAGGGCTCTTAGATGACATATTTTATACATGGTATGAGATATGAGTACACCACACACTATTTCCTGTGTGTTGTATTAGAGTGGTATTCAAGGCCTGGTAGACAGGAAAAAAAGTCAAAGCACGAAGGCAGCTGCTTAAGCAGACATGCTTTACTAATGTTACAATTTCATTCTAGCTCAGTTAAATTGAATTGATTGAATTGAATTGCTCGGTAATTGCTCTGCAGGATAATAAATAGAATGCCTTCTTTATATTTATAAGATTGTGTTATTCTTCACAGTTCAGGGGCCCAGACTTTTTTTCATTTTCATGCTTTTTAAGTCATTAATGGGAGATGTTAATTACATCAGCTAACATTCTTAGCTACATAAAGAGGCCGTTAGATTTTATCCAAAAGAATATTGCCATACAATAAAAAATAGATATGGGCAGAAATCTAAATCATACCATTCTATCTAAAATATAAGATTTTACATCTTGTATATTTTCAGGGCTGAGTAGAAACAGGTAGAGGAAGCTGTCCAAGAGCTCGAGCGAAACCTAGGATGCATGCATGTGATTACGTGCATGTGTGTACACAACGTGAATGTTCGTGTGTGTGTGTGTATGCATATTGGTGTGCGCACATGTGTATGTCCATACATGTATGTGTGTGTTCCCAATATAGACTCAAATGTGAGAGTTTTCGTTGTATTTAACCACTGAAGAACCCTGAAAGTAATTAAAAAAAGAAAAACAAAACTCTTGATTTCAAAACCATTAAAGCTAAGTGGATAATTAACAGTGAATCAACACACATTGTTTTTCAACTAGTTTCAAAGGTAATCATTCAGTACGTCTGATTTTTACTGTCAATAATTTTTGGCAAAGCCAATAGGCTGGCTCTTTCTTTTTATCTCTTAAAATATGAATGGCTCTCTTTGATAGCATCTAGTAGCACAGTGATTACAGATTATGGAAAGGTAGGAACTCTAAGAATATGCTGCCAAGAGTCTGGTGTTTGAGGGCAAAGTATCTTTCATTTTCACATGAAAAAAAAAACTGAGGCCAAGATGTCAAACTACTCAGTCACAGTATATAGCCGGTTTGCCAGTTAGGAATCCCAAAATACAGACTTCCACCCCTAGACAGCAGTGCAATGACCTTTCCATTATAATCAATTAAAATGGGCTCACTGAATAAAATTTGGTCTAATAAAACAATCACTCATAAGCCCACTATCTTGATACGATACTAATATAATTTTTGCATATTAACTTAGTATCCTTTCCACATATAAGTATTTATATACAAAGCCCACAACATAACACACTATTTTCCATTTTTCTTTTATTTCACTTAGTATTAAAATGATAGATTTCATGATATGATGCCTTGGATTTACTTCGAAATAATCTAGTGGCAGGGAGGAGTAGGTGTAATACATCATTATTTGAGAGGTAACCCAAAGCAGTGTGTCCACTGAGATACGCTGCCCATTTTGGTTTCCTAATCTACCTTAGTCACTGTATTCATTTTCCTGTGTTTACACATAGCTTCAAATTCAGGTCTCAGCTGATGCTGCTGCTGTTCCTCTTCAAAGTCCACCAGGTCCCATTCATATTCCAGTCTGGCTTGTCGCTGTTTCCAAAACTCCAAAAACAATGTGACTATAGGCAAATAAATGTACAGAAACAAATATAATCAAGAGATGGAGAAATAAAGTGAATGAGAAAATAACTGAGTTTTTCCTCTTCTTTTAAATACCAAATTGGTTGCATGATAATTCTTTTGTCACTATTATGTTTGATGATAAAATTATAAAATTATTAATGTTGGCATAATATGTAACACTAAAATAACTCCTATAAAATTTCTAGTTAATTCCTTAGATAACAGTCCATGTAAAAAAAATTTCAGGTTCATTACTCTCTCTCTTCATTAAAATAATTTGAAGTAATATTTAAATTTAACTTTTTACTAACACTGATTTGCAAAATCAGTCTTTTACTGAAATCATTCAGTCTTCTAGGGAAATCATTCAAGCAATTATACATTAGGGAAATTTAAGAAAAACATAAGAGCCATTCCACAGCACATTCTCATTCTCTCTCTGTCTCTGTCTCTGTCTCCGTCTCTCAGTATATATATATATGTTCCATGTTCATTGCAGCATTACTTACAATAGTCAAACCATGGAAACAACCTAGGTGTCCAGCAATAGATAAACAGATAAAGAAAATGTGGTAAACATATGCAATGGAATATTATTCAGCCAATAAAAAAAAAAGAAAATCCTGCCATCTGGTTGTGACAACATGAATGGTCCTTGAGAGTATTATGCTAAGTGAGATAAGCCATACAGAGAAAGACAAATAATGTTTGATCTCAATTACATGTGGAATCTAAAAACAAACCAACAAACTCATAGAAACAGAGTATAGATTGGTGGTTGATGGGGGTGGGGGAGTGGGGAGGAATGGGTGAAAGTGGTCAAAATGTACAAATGTCTAGTTGTAAGGTTAATAAGTTCTGGGGATATAATGTATAGCACAATGACTATAGTTAAAATTACTGTGTTGTATATTTGAAAGTTACTAAGAGTGGATCTTAAATGTTCCATCACAAGAAGAGAAGATGGTAGCTTTGAGGTGATGGATATTAACTAAACTTATTGCAATACGTACATATATCAAATCATTATATCATATGCCTTAAACTAATAAAGTGTTATATGTCAACTGTATCTCAATAAAACTGGGGGGGAAAGTGAAAGTGACCTAAATATCCAACAATAGAGAATTGATTAGATAAAGTATGATGAATTCATAAAAAACAATTCTATTTAGTCATAAATACACACATCCATGTATTCACTGCTATAGAAGGAGTCCCATCATTTATTGTTTGTTGAATAAAAAAGTAGGTTTAAAACTACAATATTGTACCATTTACATAAAATTATATGAATACACATGTCCATACACAGAGTAAAGAATTATGAAAAATTCTGGCCAAAATAATAAATTTTATTTCTGGTGATTTTAACATTATCTTCTTTTGTTCCTATATACTGCTTGAATTTACTATGATGGGTATATATTTTAATTACAAACAAGCCAATAAGTTAAAAAGAAATAAGCATTTCTTACCCTCCAGTACAAAGCACAGTATGCATTATTTTATTTTCAGGCCTCAATCTCTTGGACTAGTGCTATTCCTTTAACCTGGAATGTTTTCTTCACACTTACTCTGCCAATTGATCCTTTGTTCCAGCTTACTTGTTGATTAGTATTTGTACTAAAACAAATATACTTGCAGTTCTGTTTTCACAGAATTTGGCTAAGATCTTCAAAAACCAAAGCTAAATCAATTCACTGCTGCAACAAACTTTTCTGAAAGAACTAATTGATGATAGCACCTCTTCAAAATACTTGTAGTGTTGCTGAGTTTTCTGCATATGGTTTCTCCTCTATTTATGATGAAATATAAAGTTAGTGTGGTATACTATCTCTCTCAATGGAAGCAATCAAAAACTACTACACTTGTTTTAATTTGTGTACCTATCATTCACTTCAAATTCCAATTAATGATTAGGCAGGATATGGCAGCCACATGATGGAGATGTTCATACACCAACTTACCAAACTTGGGGTTGCTGAAGAATTGTTACTAAGGTTTCTCTACCTTCCATTCTCTTTGAATCTGGGCTGCTCTCTTTAGACCATAGTGAACAAACAGAAGTGACAGAAACCCATAAATCCCTCTGCTTCACATATACACCAAGAAATTTTGTTGTCTTTTTGGCTGGATCAAGCTAACTTTGTCCTTTGCCCAGTTTTTAAATGCACATATTTGTATTTGTTAAAGACTTTTTTTTAATTAGAAAGGAAAAAAAGACTAATTTTTCCAGAGTCCCCTAAATTCTGGGACATGTTTTAGAAGTCCTTAGGCCTCTGCTTGCTGAGTTACTTTTATAGAAAATATTTACCTCATTGATGGTAGGAACAACTTCTTAACACCTCTACTTCCTATGTGAAATGAAAAATATGAAATACTATAACATTTTCAAAATTAAGGGCAATTCCGCTTTATATGGAAGATTTTTATCAAATGAAACTGGAAGCTAGAATGAGAATTAGTCACAGGGAACTCAGACTTAAACAGTGATTTATTAGCCCTCAATAATTTATTTTGATTCTTACTCCAGTTTGCATTCATGACTCAATATCCTCTAGCCACCAAATAATTATGTATATTCTCTCCTGAATTAACTATTTATTCAGACTATTTTTTAACCATAGGGCTGAGAGACAGTAAGAGCTGAATACATATGAAGTTTCAAAAACTATACTGTCTCTCAGAAAAATAAGCAGATGATTAACGGGGGCCTTTCTTGGGCCAAGGACTAAAGAACATTGAAGTGGGCTCTACTGGTGTACAAATCTAGCAAGGACACAAAGATCTAAAATCACCTTTGGTATGTAAGGTATACCATCTGTATATGTTATACAGATGAGCCATATAACACGTAATATGGAGAAAGTTGTTTTTTATGTGACTACTCACCCCAAATTCCCATGAATATTGCAAAGAACACTGTTGACTCATTATCAAATAAATGGGAGACCTGTATGAAACAAGAATAACATCACAAATAGTATTAGTTTCAAATACAATGCAAAAGGAGGAAAATTACAAGTCTTCTCAACATCCCCAAATACATACATACCTTTGAAGCCAAACATGTACTATTTAGTCTCCAATAATCACACACTTGATCACAGAGTGGGCACATGATAATCTGACCTCCAATATCAGGGTCACAGATTTCGGTGCTGCAGAGTGAACAGCAAAGTTATTTTTAAAGTGATGCATGTTTCGGTGAAAGTCCAAAGCTGTTCTTATCAGAACAAAGCAATTTCTGCAGTAGGTCAAGTCATGCTTTGAGGAACTGGATCTTTAGAACTAATCATTAAATACAGATTTTTTAGAAAGCACCAGGTTAGGGGCAGCTGCTTTTTATAATATATCAATTATCTGCTGCCATAAAGAAACATTCTGAAACAAATGCCAGGGAAGTAATAATACCAGTTTCAGTTAGTATAAGATCAAGACGTTTTCTCTATTTAGGCAACTCAATTGCACTTACCTGCTTGAGTTACCATGCATTGATAATAAGCCATAAATAAAACAAGCTAAGCCAACTACAGCTGCAAAGGATAGCATTTCTGTGTAAAATCCGAGGAAGACAAAATAGATGCCAATTTTTTCCCCATAATAATTCCTATAAAAGAGAATAAAAACAAGAGTCAGAGGTTGGAAGAATAATTCAAGTACAAACAGCCATGTTTTGTATTCAGACAAGCCTGTATGCTAATTTTGGCTCCACTGCTTTCTAGCAATATAATTTGGTAAAGGTACTAAACCTCTAAGCTTTAGTTTCCACATCATAAAATGCAGGTTGATGCTTATCCACAGAATTGGTGTAAGGATTAAAAGAGATAACACTAAGTAGGCCCTCTGTGTCCATAACGGAGCTTGAGATAATCACGTTAAGCGAATAAGTCAGGAAAAGTTGAAAACTACATGATATTCCTCATATGTGGGATGTAAAACTGTTGTTTTTAAACCCAGCACCCCTTAAGGAAACCCTCAAGGAACCAGGGAATATAGTACTCTTCTTCAGAAAACCACGTATTTGTATGTTTGTTCATTTGTTTGTTTTAAATCAGCTTAATCTTCCTCACTCATACAGAGCGCAGCTCACCAAATCCGTAAAGCCTTTCCATAGTTTCCTAGGCAGATGGATCCGATCTCTTTTTGGTACTAATAGCATGCTACATATAAATCAATGACAGCACAAAATGTTAAACTGTAATTTCAAAAAGGCAACTCTGAACATGAAGGGTATAAGCTTAATCTCCTAATGAGAAGATTTTAAAATACTTTTCTCATATTCAATATTAATTTCATGTAATCTCCCACTCTACACTTTTCAAAATTTCTAATCTTTTCTAACCAAACTAGCATCTTACTGCTTGTACCACCTTCCATTCTTTTCAAGTGATATTTTTACACTGTTGTTTTTCTTTGTTCTGCTCTTCACTATAAACATGAAATTAAATTATAATCATATCCCTTTGTTAATTTGCCATTAACAACTTCCTGAGGTTCATTCACACTTAGGATGAACTGCTTTTTCTCCTTTTTGCTGAAAAACATAGCAATCACTATAATACTATATAACATCAAAATTTTTAAAAAGGAGGAAAAAAGATTTTGATTTGTGAGATTTATTATTCACCATATCTATTTCCATTTGATGTTTTAAAAATTAAAGAGGGTAAAACAATATTATCGCTATAGATTCAATCTAAAAATTCTTTAGGAATTCATAAAGAAACTAGCTATTTCAACATTATTTTTAAAGAATTACATTTTTTCCCCTTTCAAATAGCAAGAATCTTATTTCTTGAGAATTAAAAAAAAAAAGTCCTGAAGAACTCCAGATCTTTAATTAGTATTATATAGATTTCAAAAACAGAAATTCTCAGATGAGCTTTTATTATATATAGAATTATAGAAACTATTTTACTAAACTTGGACTTGAGGGGCTTAACAATAACCAATTAACAACTAAACCATCCCTTAGGAGTGCAAAAAACAAGAGGCATGTTTTAGATTTGCATTATAATAAAAATGTATATATTATTGAATTAAGATTGAGATGTTAACCTAAATTCTTATTATTCATAAGAGAGAAAATGAGAGAAATCTAATCAAACGAGACACTCTATAAAGACTCAAATGTAAATAGAACCCTTTTTTTGAGTATTTTTTTCAAAAATTGCACCTTGTGGTTACACCTATGGTATTTCTTAATCTGTCCATTTTACTTACTAGGCTTTCAACTCATCTGTGGCCCTGTATCATCTAATATAGCATCTGATAGGTAGGAGACATTCCTTAATATTGGTTGTGAGATTTTGTAAGAAGGCATTGGTCTAATTTTGTATTCCCAGAACTTAGTACTTAATCCGAGACCCAGAAAATAATCAAAAGAATGATAAAACTGAACTGATACAGACTCGAGGAATAAATGAACAAATTCAAACATCTGGTCTAAAGAGATTCATTTTTACAGTGAATTCATGGACATCTGAGAAACTTAGCTTAGCTTGGCATTTTAACAGCACCATTATATTAATTGTAAATATATTTATTTTAAGAGCTACATATGATGTAGCTTAGTATATCAATTTTATTTCTAAGTATTAAGCCTTCACAATAGGTTATATAAAAAAATTACATGGAGCACTTAAATTGAAAAGAAAAATTGGGATCAGAGGGCATATAAAACTGAAGACTGATAAATCAATGATGGCAACTTTGGGGTTATCGTTTTTCCTGAAAAAAAAAAAATCTAATATGACAAAATGGTCAGTGCCCAAAAGGCAGTAAAACTTTTACAAATATTTCAATATGAAACTTAAGTTTGTATAAAGATAACATGAAATATGTGAAATCTAGGAATTTGGAATCCTATATTCTCAATCTCTTTCTAGGTACCCCAAGTCATCCTGCCTTTATTTCTTTTTATCCTCCATATCTAGTCACCCACTAGGTCCAATAAATTCTATCACAGAAGTCTTTTTTCTAATCCATAGTATCCTCTCTTTCCTGTTACCAGTACCTTGGATATGATCTTCAATATCTTTTGCTGGAAAATTTTAATAGCCTCCTAAGTTCCCTGACTTCAGTCTTACATCCTTTTAAAGTATCTTCCTTGTTTCCAATAGTGATGTTCCTAAAGAAGGAAAATGGTGTCCTTTTCTTCCTTCAAAAGTTTTGTCCTTTCATCTCAGCACTGTCCCTCATAATTTTGTTTCTGATAAACATTTAGGTCTCACCTGCTACTACTCCTACATGCAGAACTAAACGCACAAGGCTCTTCCTCAGCCCAGTGCTCTATACTTGCTTCCCCGTTGGAGATATTCCTATCTTTTTTACCTAGCTACCTAGTACTTATCTCTCAAAACACAGCTTGAGAATTAGCGCTATGAAACTTTCCCTGAGGTAGGTATTTTTCCTCTGTGCTCTATTCTTTCATGAGTATCACTCTGCTGTAATTATTATGCATTTGGGTGTCTTCCTGAAAATATATTCACGTTGGGAAACTGTGTTCTAATTACCTTTGTAGCCCTAGCCTATTGCCTAATATCTAGTGATGTTTAAAAAATTCTCATAAAAGGAATGTATACATTCTAATTATGCATGTTTGGACAATTCCTCTCTTTCTTAGGATATTTTATTTGTATCAAGTTTTCCCACAAAACCTTTCCGAAAGACCATACAATCAACAAGGAGAGGAAATAAAACCACACCTGATACAGACCTTCAGTCTCATGACAGAGAACACCATCACCACCAATTATCTGTAAGTAATGAAATATGCCCAGTTCCCAGCACCCATCATCTGTTACCACAAACCTGAGGTACAGAGAGCAGTGAAGATGCTTAGGAAATACTAGGGAAAAAAGTGTAAAGCAGGCTGGAGACATTACACAAACACCGACAAAATCACCCCTGGAAACAAATGTTGAGATTTGGTTAATTCACAGTATAAGCTAAAAGGAAGGGATCTGAAAATGAGCAAAACTGGAAGTGACAGTCTCAAAGAAGCATTGTTTCTGAGTAAGAATTACGTATAAAGGGTGGTACTCCTTAAAAATGTGGCCATATGAGAAAGATGAAAATAAGAGGTACAGTTAGGATCCTGCAGAAATGAAAGAAATAGCACGTGACAACCACGTACCATCATCCATAAAAGAAACCACATGGAATAGGAAAGAACTAACATAAACGTGCACTCTAATCTAGAAATTGTTTGTGAATTAAACACAAAGAGAAAAAAGCAGGCCATACCCTTACAAAATTATATTTTCTAAAAAATGGAAATCTGAAACAAATAATTTCAGCTAATGAAAATTCTCCCCAAAGAACATGATGAATACTGTGATAAAGCACTACAAACAACTAAATGTTGTCAAAATAAATAATTACAACTATAAGAAAACACCAGAAATATAAAAATAAGAAGATAGTGGAGGTAAACAGAAAAAAATAAAAAAATAAAACAAGAGGTAAAAGAATTCTAGAAAGAGAGGAAAAAGAGAAATCATATAAGATCATGTCAGAACTGATACTGAAATTATAAGGTACCCAAAAGCGAATAATGGAAAAATTAAGTGAAAATCTAATAATAGAAACTAAAAACAGAAAACCTATCAAAAGAATAAAAATGACATAGAGAAGTAAAAAGGGTCTCAGAGAAATTGTTTGATATATGACAGGCAAAAAAGACAAAATATACAAATAATTGAAGTCCAAAGAAAATAATCGAAACACTGCAAAATAACTAATATTTTAAAAATATAAACCAAGACAACTTTTCAGAAAATAAACGAAAAAATAGAAGCTACACATTGAAAGGATCCACCAGGAACCAGGAAAAACTGACTTAGAAAAATCTACTCCAAGACATAATGTGTTAAAACAATCAGATTTCAAAACAAACAAACAAGCAATCAAAACTCTCAAAGTCCCGTGGCAAAATGACAAAGTAATGTACAAAGGCAAAAGAAATTCCTACTTAATGAGGATACACTAGAGACGTTTCCACTAAGATCAGGAATGAGGAAAGGATACTCACTATCTCCACTATTACTGAACATTGTTTTGGAATTATTAGCCAGTGCAGCTGAATGAAAGAAAGTGATTAGAGACATAAGAATTGGTAGAGAATAAAAAATAATACTTCGCATTAAACTTTAAAAAGTTTCATAACCTACACAAAGAAAACTCTACCTAAAAGTAAGCTTGAACAAATACATACCTTTTCTTTGATTAGAAAGTCTCAATATCATCAAAATATGAAGCCTACCTAATTAATTTACAAACTCAATGTGATCCCCATAAAAATACCAACAATCTTTTTAGTAGAGAGCTAGACAAGTTTATACTAAAGGTTATGTGGAAAAACAGACCTGCAGAATGTACAAGAAAACACTGCAAATAAAAGCTATGATTAGGCATTAGCCCATTTAGATATTAAAACATACTACAGTGAACTCGTAGTAATTAAAACAGCCTGGTATCGGTGTATGAATAGTTAGCTAGATCAACAGAATAGAACAGAAAATCCAGAAACCAACAACTGCATATAGAAATCTAGTATATGATAAAGGTGGTACCTCAAATCACTGGGGCAACAATTAAACTTTTTAATAAACGGTGTTGGAGCAAGTAGATAAAAGTAGATCTATCTCTCACACAATATGTAAGAATTAACTCCAAGTGGATAAAGCATCTAAACATAAAAAATGAAAACTATGCAAGTAGAAAAAAACGTGGGTGAGTTTCTCTACAATTTGTGCATATGAAAAGGCATTCTGTAACTAAAAATCCAAATGCAATAAAAAAATGATAAGTTTGACTTAGATTTTTGTGGCCATTTTTTCTTTAGCATAATGCTTTTAAGATTCATTCCTTGATGTTACATATATTAGCAATTTATTTCTTTTTATTTTTGAGAAAAATCCATTGTATGAATACATGATAATTTATTTATTCATTCACCAGTTGATGAACATTTTGGTTGTTTCCAGTTTTCTATTATTATATTGAGTTAAGCGACTATGAACATTCAAATAATGGTGTTTTAGTGGTCATATGCTACATTTTTCCTGGGTAAGGACTTAGAAGTGGAATTGTTGGGTCATGTAAAAAGGGCATATTTAACTTTATAAGAAACTGTCAAGTTGTTTTGTAAAGTTGCTATACCATATGTATTCCCACCAGCAATGTTTGAGAGTCAAAGTTGCATTCCTGTTAGCACTCGTCAATATTTTAGATTTTAGCTATTCTAGAGGGTGTGTGGTAGTTTCTCAATGACATTTTAATATTTACTAGTGAATAAAGATGTTGTGCGTCTTTTAATGTATTGGCCTTTAATAAGTATATTTTTTTGGTAAAGTATTTGTGATAATCTTTTGTCCATTTTTAGTTATTCTGTCTTCTTATTGAGTTGTAAGAATTCCTTAAATATTTTGGATAAGAGTCCTTTATTGATATGTGTGTTGCAAGTATATTTTTTGGTTTGTGGTCTGCCTTTTTATTTTTGTAACAGTGTATTTTAAAGTGAAGATATTTTTAATTTTAATGAAGTCAATTGTATCCATTCTTTAAATTTTGCTTTTTATGTCTTATCTGAAAAATCCATGCCTAACTCGAGGTCACATTGATTTTTCTCCAACATATTCTTTTAGAAGTTTTATAGTTTTACCCTTTACACTTAGTTCTCTAATCCATTTAATGTTAGTATAAATTTTTATATAGGACGGGATCAAGATACATGTTTGTCATATGAATATCCATTTGTTCTAGCATGGGAAAGGACTATCCTTTACCCAAATAAGTAATCAGACACCTCTGTTGGAAATCAATTGACCATGAATATGTGGATCTATTTCTGGACTCTACTTTTATTAAAGGTCTTATTTGTCAACAATTTAAAATATATAGAAAAGTTGCAAGAATAATTCAAATAACATCCATATATCCTTTATTTTATTGTAAAAATATTGTTCCATTTGCACTCTCTTCATATGTATTTCCTTTTACAACTATATATGTATCTATAAATATCTTTTTCTGAACCATTTGAAAGTAAGTTAATTGAATACATCATGACCCTTTATCCCTAAATACTTTATTGTCTATTCCTAAGAGTATTATCTTATGTAACCAACGAAAAGATACCCTAGGAATAACAGCCATTTTCTACAATCGCTACCTTTGTGATAACACAGTGTTTTCTTTTTTGCCTTTACAGTTACCTAGTTTAAAACTTTATACCTAGTTATCAATGCTTTACATTAAATTTTGTTAAATATTTAAATTACTTAAAAATTTTCTCATTATTGAAATGGGAAAGCAGTGTAACTTGCTATAAATGGAAAATTACTTAAATCATAGGATAAAAAACTTTAAAAAGTTGTTAAATTTAAGCTTGACATTGTCATCTCATGAAATTTCTGAGCTTCCACTTCGTTGTAAAAAATTAGTAAATGCTAACAAAGTATTACAGATAGACCTGCAATGACCTGAGATGTGTTTGTGTATATCTATAAATACAAACCTTTGGGGTACACTTAAAGCAGAAACACCTGTAAACAGTTAAAAATGTTAGTTAAATAAATATTCTCAATATATTTTTAACAATGTAAAATACATAAACCTTCATTCTGACAACCTTGCTTCTTTGAAAATATACTATGAAAATATTCACCAAGGGCATAATGTCTGCAGATATTCTTAGCAGCCTTGTTCTTACAGTGAACATTTTGGAACAGCCTAATGTTTTTTAATAGAAAATTAGATAAACGAATTATCAAAATTTATAATATTGCACTGTGTTCTTGTTAAAAAGCATGAGCTAGATCTGTGTGTATTCACAGGGATGGGTACCAACAACATATTATTTAATGAAAAAAAGAAAATCTAAGCAAAAAAGTAAATAAAGAGACCATTACTCTGGTGGGAAAATGTGTTTATGTGCTTTATGATGCATGCACATAAAAATAAGACTGAATAGATACTATCAAATCAAGAGTAGTTACCTCTATGAAGTGCAATAGAGGTGGAATTTTACTTAAAACTTTGCACATCCCTTTATTAGTTAAAATTTTTTGATAAATTCTACTTTTAGAATTTAAATAAGTCAGAAAGATAAATATCATATGATTTCACTTATATGCAGAATCTAAGGAACAAAAAGAACAATTTAATCAAAAACAGACTCACAAATATAGTGGACAATTTGGTGACGAACAGGGGAGGACGGCTGCGGGGCTGGGATATTGGGGTGAAGGGTTAAAGAAGTACAAATCAGTAGTTGATAGATGGTTACAGGGATGGGGAGCACGGCATAGGGAATGTAGTTAGCACTATATATTGGCTAGGTGGAAAACCAGAGGAGAAAAGGAGCAATTAGGGGGATCGTTTTATAAACTATATAAATGTCTAACCAATGTACTATATACTTGAAACTAATTAAAATAAATTAATTACTTAAAAAAAATTTTTTAAAGTAAAAAACAATTAAATGACCATTACTCAAAACAATTAAGATTCATCTGACAAAATTCATATAACGATTTACATAAAACATCAGTTTATATATTCTAGTTGCCTTTTATTTTAGATGTTTCCCCTTATTTGCCTTAAACACAACTGTTGAGATAACATTTCAGTTGATTTAGATATATGAATCAAAATCAGTCTCCTAAAAAAGATGCTGCGATGCCGTGCAAGCATCACAGTGGAAGCATAAATCACCAAGTGAACTGTTCTAATCCAATTATTCCTTTACCAAAATCATAGCAGGAGTCTTCTATCATCCTGTATGCATGTAGAATTGTTATGGTTCAAAGCAGGAACCTGCAACCATAGTCTTCTTGCTTAGCTCACAGAACTGTCTAAAGAAATTACTTGAGAGCATAGAAATCAGACAGGGTCAGGCACTAAGTTTTACAACTGCCTGAGCCAAAAGATTTTTTAAAAAAAGAAAGTATTAAGGTTATAGAACCAATGGCTTCACAGCTCTCTGAGATCAATACACACACACAAACACAATAAAACATATCCATACATAGCCTTTCTGCTATCTTCTAAATTCCTGAACTGAGGAAAACAAAAATATTATGTATGAAGCACTAAGTGCTAGGCTAGCCCCTACGCTAAAAAATATACATATCTCATTTAATTATCAAATAACCCCATAAGGAAAGCACTCTTGTTATTCTCATTTTACAGATGAGTCTCATAGACTCTAAGCACTTTGAATAAATTTAGATAGCTTCTAAGAGGAAGAGTTTGGATTTGAACAAAGCCTACCTAAATACCAAGGCCCAAACTCTGAACCACCGAGCTATCTCTGCAGGGTGGTTAAGAGAGAGCATTCTGGCAACAGCATTCTGTTTACAAATGAATGACTAAATGACAGTGTAGATATAAAACTGGGTATATGTAAAGTGTAGTGGGTGAGAAGAGTAGTAAAAAGAATGGAATATGATGCCATTGTTTTATTTGGTTTAATCCTGTGTAAAACTTACCTAATTAAATCTAAAGGCTGCTCCTTGTAAAAATAAGAAAACCGAGCCCAATTCTGGCAAAGCGTGTACCTTTCATTGACAGGATTAGGAGGTTCTGATGGCTTCCAATATTGGCCCTACAGATATTCAAGAAGAATATATGTGAATAACAAAGAAAAACACAAGGGCGGAGTAAATCAACACTGCTTTTATGAGGTTAGTGAATGAGGCGAATGTTCTTTTACTTTTAGACTTAGATTTTCATATTCCACTGATGTGAAATTATGCACTAAAACCTATAATGAGCTATAATAACAGTGATTTATTTATTAAATATTCACACCCAGTTATTTAAAAATGCAGGTTAAAGTTTGAGACTTTGGCTTTCCTCAAGTTGTTCCTTTTACCTGGAATGCCCTTTTTTCTCTACTCAAATTGAATATAAAATTCACAGCTTGGGAATTCATATAACTGTATAACTTGCTGGGACTTTAGCAACTGGCTAACACTTTTATTGTACAGAGTGAAAAATTAAATCCCAAGTGAAGTTAAGTGAACGATCTAAAGTCACAACGCTATAACAGGACTCTCCTCCAGGGAATCTGTCTTGTCCTCACTGAAATATCCATTTCCCAAAGAACTTAAAATATATGCAATAAGCTTTGGCCCTTAAGAGCCTCAGCATTGTTTCATGCATAAGTTCTTTTCCCACTATTAAGTACTAAGTAGCTTTATTAATGTCCTAGCAGAGCACTGACTACACACAGCTGCTCAATACATTCTTTTAAACTATTTGCCTAGACAAGTGAACTGCTGATGACAGCACTGAATAAATACCCAATTTAAAATTAAGCACATGTGAAAATCTCTATTTGACAAAGTATAGGATTTTATATCCTCCGGATTCCAACAGTTTTCCTCTTCTGTAGTTAGTCCTATTGAACCTTGAGAAATAAAATAGAAAATAAATGAAAATAAAAACCAAAGAAAAGAAAAAGAGCAGCCTATATATGTTTATCTGGAAAAAAATGATTCTTTAAAGTACATAAGGTAAAATCTAGTACCTAAACTTGAATTCAAGAGAAAAAGAAAGAAAAAGTAAAATTAACAGTATATTATAGGTATTTGTAACGACTGCTCACTAACACTGATTCTAGCAAGCACAAAGGCTCTACTGGAAGGCTAGATGTACGGATTAAAATTTCTGGTGATTGAGGATATTTGTTTTTTTTAGGTTGGCTTTATAACCTGGTACCAGTAAGAAGAGAAAACAAACAAACAATCCTCAACATCTTCAAAAAATGAAACAAGCCCTTTTGTGAAGAAAGGTTGACAAAGAATGCAGTGTTTATTAACCCACTATAGATCTACTTTATCAAATGGCCATGGCATTATTTAGAATCCATAATCTCCTAGAAATTCTTTTGCCAGGAGGAAAAATATGAGGAAAGGGGGAAAGAATATGGGTTGGGAGGAATGATTTCTCTAAGACTTAAGTTAAATTCATCTGACTTGATACTCCTGTTGAAATTTGCAATTCATTTTGGAAAATTCTGCTATACCTTTATAGGAAACATATCAAACATAATCAACTAACCAGTGTTGAACTGACTAGAGTCAATCACCATACTGTTGAATAAATATTGACAGAGGAAAGCTGGTACAATAGTTTAAATCCTGGAAAAGAGAGTTTGGCTTTGGGCTTTTGAAAACTATTACAGCAACACTACCTTCAAAATAATGGGCAATGATTTAGATCTCACTTGTTTAAATGGAAATACTTGATTCTTCTATATTCCTAAGGAATGTGTTTCTCAAAAAGGGAGCACATCATCAAAAATCTTTCACAAGTATGGAAGAATAAAACAGAAATAAAAGTAACAACAGTTCCAAGGTTAAATCTTAGTTTATGCATGTTCAGCCACATGATGTCTACTGTGAATGGGTGGTGATATTTCAACACTGAATATACAAAGGGAAGGTTTCCCTCAGAAACCCCCAGAAACTAGGCTATCAAGCTTTCAGTTTTGGTTAAATGGGTGCATCACTCAAAATGTCATTTCTTTGTTAAACTGATAAAGCTCAATAGTTTTGTACAATGATCCACCAGCCTCAAAGAATCATTCTTTTAAATCTTGGTTATTTATCTGACTCTTTCTTAGGACTGAAGTCATTAGCTTATTTTGCAGTTGTACATGTGCATTATTTCCCAGAAATTCCTAGTCTGTGAGCTTGGATTCCTGGTTATGTTCCAAAAATACCTAACAGAATGCTTTACATATAATTAAAACCAACTATGCCTTTAATGAATGAATACATGAATGCATTTAATGCATGCATGTAATTTAAGTCCTTCATAGCAGGAGTCCCTGACCCCTAGGCGGCAGACTGGTATTGGTCTGTGGCCTGTTAGGAGCAAGGCTGCACAGCAGGAGGTCAGCGAAGATTCAGCTAAATACAGCTGCTGCTCCCCAGCGCTAGCATTGCCACCTCAGTTCCAACTCAGATCATCAGACATTAGATTCTCTTAGGAGAATTGGTCCCTGGTGCCTAAATGGTTGGGGACCGCTGCTTTATAGCTTCGAAACTTTATAAATGAGAAAAGATCTGATGAATTCAGATATAAATTTCTAAATATTATGTTCTAAAATGTTTTTTTAATATAACTGCTATTCTCAATATGGGTCCTACAGAAAAATCATATCCAAATGTAATAATTTTTTCAAAATAAACTTCCACTGAAATCTCAATGTGAAGAGGTATTAACTACGTGTTTCAGCACAGCTGGTAAAGTTCTCAGCTTGGAACTAGGGAGTTTAGGGGAATTTCTCAAACATGTAAGAGAATTAAGCAACCTGTAATGAAAGAGGAAGCAAATGGAAGATTCTCTCTCCCAACAAGGCAACCTTTGAACTTGAGAGAGGGAAAAGAGCTCAATATTTCAAAACCAAGCTTATACTTACATCATGGAGTGGATAGGCAGATGAATAAGTGTGAGAATTTAGCAGTCTTTCAATCCCAAACCTTTTCTTCCCATCTTCTATGCTAAAGGGACATCGTGAAAGTATATAATAAACCTACGAAGTGAGCATAAAGAGACGTGCATTTCAAAACTTTATGCTTTCCATACTTTTTCCAATCACAGTTTAACAACGTCCACTCAGAATGATTATATAAAGAACATTCCTTTTGTTGTTTGGGGTAAGATCTGGAGAGGGTAGGGCTATGTGGACTTCGCAGGCATTTCAGCTCCTGGGTATGAGAGCTCCACATTCCCTTGAGGAGAGGGGAGAATGAATCATAACTTATTTGTTTCTGCCCCAAGCTCCTCTGAGGTCTCTTGTCCCAGAATTCCTACTATAATCAGGGCTCAATTTAGAATCTAATATCACTGCTATTAATAGTTCAGTTAAGGGAACATGGGATAGAATTGATACTTAGGCAAGTTTTCTTAAATACTTTTTCAATGAATTACTCTCATAATTTAAACAGGGCCTTCTCCTGCTATCTGAATTTATTAATTCAACATTATCAGATCTACAACTATTTTGCAATCACTTACATCTTTATATTAGTTTTCTCCTCCATCTAATTTGGGCTTGGTGTCCTCAGCTCTTGTATTTCTGTCAATTCAATCTTATCTCTTTTTTGTGTTCCAGCAACTTTGCAGAATTTCTGCTTTTCTGATTGCTGAATTTGGTCTTTTTAGCACTTTTTTTAGATGTATTTCCCTTCACCTTCTTTTTTCTATTTCATCATTTAAGGAACTGTTTATTAAAATGGTTGTTGTCCTTGAATGACCATTATCTAATTTGGTTACTCACTTTACAGGCAAGCTTAATACTCTGCCTTGGTAAATAAATCATAATTTATGTAAGGTAGTTTTTATTTTTATAAATAATGTGATAAATATTAACTATTCTATATACTTTGAATTATTTCCTTAAGAAAGAGTCACCAAAATAAGAACTCTGTCTTGTGGTGTTAACAAAGTGGAACATTTTACTTTACCAGATATTAAGATTATAAAACTATGGTAATAAATACGGCATGGTATTGTCAAGTCAAAACAAATCCAGACGTAGGAAAGAAATGATTCCATTCAAAAAGATCATCGTAAGAGAGTGAGGGAGACTATTGCAATAGAGGGATCTGCAAACATCTGCAAAGTTAGGCAAAAAAAAGGGCTTTTCTTTTACAGGGAGAAGAAAGCCAGGTTCAGGAAATGTCTTTTTTTTTTGTATTAAAAAAGGGCTATTCTACAAGCCAATGTTGGCTCAGGTTGAGAGTACGTCCAACTTTAGGGTCCTGTGGGTAAAAAATAAGTTTAATTAAAGTTTGATCAATTCAGCTAATGAGTACTCTGTTTTTATCAATGGAGACAAATAATTTTGGCAAAATATTTGTGAAACAAAGACTAGAAAGGTGGAAGGCCTGAGTCTGACCCGTATTATTATAAAGTAGTAAGTGGTAAGAAATTGTAAGGATAACTATAGATGTAGAACAACTAAAATTTCCCTGGTGCTAAGAGAATGAGACTTTCTTTAACTCCTTTTTCTTAGAGCATTTCCTATAGAGTGATTGTAATTATCAATTCTTTCTCTATGCCTTTGAGATGCATGTAAGTCTTTTTAAATGCTAAATAAACCTCTTGCCAGTTTTACAACTCAGGAGTGCTTTTAAGCTTTCTAGGAGTTGTCTCTTTGTAAAGTTAACATGGAGAAAGACAGCATTCCTATCTTCCTGTCTCTACGCTGAGTGTAGCTTGGGCACCTGGCTCCAAGCTGTAACTTTCTGGTTGACACAGAGCTATGAGAAGTATTATTATTTTTTATTTTTTTTGGATAAAGACAACTAACTCAAACGAACAAGTCAATTACAAGGTGAATTTAGGATGAACTATGTGGCAAAACGTGCTGCCAAGTCAGACTGGGGGTGGAGGTTATCTATGAATATGCTTTAAGTCACATAGGGAAGAGTGATTCTTTACAGTAATCAGTTTCTCAGAATGAGAGGAATAGGAGATTTCTTTAACTATCCTTATTTTCCAGGACTACAGAACCCAGGTAAAGCTCAATATTGGTAGTTTTGACACAAAAAATAGACAGAGATCAAAGCAGCAGAACCAGCCCAATAGTAGCCCCATGAGTTTACAGATACTTGAATTATGACAAAGGTAGAATTGTAAAACTGTATAAAAAATTATTGAATGTTTTCAGTAATTGGTGCAAGCTGAATGACTATATATATGGGGAAAAAACGGCCACCATCTCAAACCATGCACAAAAATTAATTCCAGGTGGATAGTAGTTCTTAGTGTGACAAGCAAAATAATACAACTCATAGAAGATAATATATGAAATTAACTTCTTCATGATCTTGGTGGTAGTTAAACTTTAGGAGTATTATTCATAAAATAAAGGCTTGAGAAAGTGAACTGCATTACAAGTAAAAGCATATTTATCAAAAGGAACCATTAAAAGAAAGAAAATAAAAGCACAAAGTAGGAAAAGATCAGTAAAATATATAATGAATAACGGACTTATATAAAAAAAATAATAAACAGTTCTTACAAAACAAGAGAAGACCTAATTGAAAAGTGGAAAAGAGACATTAACAGATACTTCATAAAGTGCATAATAAATGCCCAATAAACATATATAAGATGAATCTCTTATATCAGAGAAATGCAAATTAAAGCTATAATAACACATACACAAATAAATTCCCATATGCAGCAACACAAATGAATGAATAGCTCATACAGAGCTAAATGAATCACCCAAATAAATGCTGAGCCAAAGAAGCCAGACTCAAATAAATATATTTCAAAATGATTCCATTTTGAAAAAATTTAAAAACAGACTAAATTAATCTCTGCTGTGAGAAGTTAAAGACAACCTCTGCTGAGGAGGATGAGAACAGTGATTGGGAGGAGGCACTAGGGCTCCTGGGGCATTGGGAAGTTTTTCTCTTTCCATCTGGCTGGTGGTTACATGACTATGTGTTCTGTGATAATTTAGGGGTACACTTATGACCTATGGCCCTTTTTCTATTTACGTTGTTAGACTCTAAATTAGTACATCTTTTTGTAAAGCATGATAGTGTAATATATGTATGTAAAATTTTAAATGTGCATGCCTTTGGATCTAGAAATTTTGTATGTGGTATCCATTTTGCTGAAAAATTTACATATATGCTGAAATATGTAAACACCAGGTTGTAAACTGCAGAATTCTTTGTAAAATCAGAAAAGTTAGAAACAAATTCAATAGCTGTTTTAATAAAACATTCATATTACATTTAACAAAACATTATATCATATCTATATAAGATGTTATAAGATATATATCGTGAGGCACATATGTAACGATGGTTGTACAGAAGTTTTGAAAAGTATGAAATTCTATACCAAAGTAAGATGCTCTTGTAATACTGTTCGATTTGTACATACAGAGACTATACTGCTCTGAGTGAGGATAGGAAGGACTTTTCTATGTTAATCTCCTAAATAACTTCCTCAATAGAGCAAGAGTAAAATTGTTCTACCATAAAGGAGGAGAAATTATTGTTTTAATGCTTAATTAACCTAAGATATTGATATTCTTTACAAAGAACAAGTAAAACTAAATGAATACTGACATTTCTATTCCTGATCAAATTCCTAATTTACAGTTTGCAGTGTCTCATGTATATTCTTTCATTTGAATCTCTCAATAATGCCAGTATTATCATTATCTCTATTTTAAGAGAGATTATTTTATTTAGAAAGTAGCAGAGTTATAACTTGAAACCATGCTTTCTGATTTCATGTCATGTGCTCTTTATTTCCTTACTGGCTGCCTCTTAGGTTTGTTTTTTAACCTGGTAAGAAAAGGGAGACAATTTTTAGTTTGTAGATTCACGTTACATTTTGTTTGATATTCCTGTCAGTGAATTTTTAAAAATAGATGTAGGAACTAGAAAAAAAGGATTATTTCAAAATCCTTCTAACACACTTAAGAGTACTGAACCTAAGAGGAATGAAGTCTCCAGTTGCTCAAGAAAAAAAAAGTAAAATCAAGGGAAGGAGCTTGCAATTGTTAGAGCCCTGGTAATTACATTAATAGGCAATGGATAGAAGAGATAAGAGCAACAAAGAGCCTGATTTTTTCCCTCTAAAATCAGATCAATAATAACACCATCTAACACTTACTGAGCACTTAGCATGTTCCAGAAACTGTTCAAAGCCTTCCATACCTTAACTATTTAATTCTCAGGGTAACTTTTTTGGTGGATATTATTTCTTTTTTTTTTTTAAATTAAAATTATTGGGGTGACATTGGTTAATAGAATCAAATAGGTTTCTTTTCAAGTGTACAAGTCAATAATATGTCACATGCATAATGCATTGTGTGTTCACCACCCAAAGTTAAATATCCTTCTGCCGCCCATTTATCCGCAAAGATATATATGCACTCCAATGGTCACAGCAGCATTGTTCACAGGGGCCAACATATGGAAACAACCAAAGTGTCCATCAATAGAAGATTGGATAAAGAAGATGTAGTACATACAGACAATGGATTATTACTCAGCTATAAAAAAAGATATTATTCCTATCATAACATGAAGAAACTATGGCACAGAAACTGATTCTTTGAGAAGTTTTTAATGGTAAACTTAAAAATCCTAGAACTATAAGTGGAGAGGAAATATTATTATTCAAAAGACTGGTTTTAAATGAAAAGAAAAAGCTCTGAGGTTTCTCAAATGCTATCTACATATAAAGAAATTAAAACATCCCATTTCCATTTGGAATGACCAGTAGTGCTCCTACTATTCACTGAATTTATTAAAACAAAACAAAACAAAACAAAACAAAAAACCTCTAAGATCATAAAGCCATTGTACAAAACTCTTATAAAATCAAAGCACTGTCTTTCAATTACATTGCTTTTCTCAGTATTGCGCAATGCTTCTCTCTTCACTATTTCTACAATGTCAACCATTCATTTTTAAACAAGTTTCAGAAGTAGGGAGGTTAACAAGTTTAAGTGGTCCAAGTGGACTTTCAAAGCTGCCCAATACCACTAAATAAATTATCAAAATTTACACAGAAACACCTTGCAGACATAGTATTGCACATGCACATGCATAAAAGCACACACACAAACAAACGTCCCTTACATGAAGGGATGTGCCCAAAGTTCTTCACTACCTACAATTCTGTTTCTTGATGAGGATGGGAAGAAGCTTGACTTGTCATCAATGAGGAAGAGTTCCTGGCGATGTCTGGTGAATTGGGCAGTGAAATATTCAGGGTGAGGATGCTTCACATTCCTTGGAAGCTTAAGAGGCCCAAGTATACAGCTAAAGGGGATTGTCTCAGGTCGGGGAATATCACTCTCCTTAATAGGCATTTTGATTCCCAATACTTCAGCATAAGTAGCTAATACCTCCCAGGGGGCATGGATCTTGACAAAATAAGTTTTTCCATCTTCAGAGTTCTATATAAAAAGGAGGCAAAACAACAGAAAGCTTACTGATCTGTTTGTTACTGAATTAAAGAAAAGAAACAAAATTGTATAAAATCGCAAACAAAGCTGTCACAACACTTTCAATTTATTGACATTTTTCAGCAAAACTTTTAGAAGGGCAAATGCTCAGAACAAATATATACTGTATATTATGTTTACAGATACATGTATATATGTTTTATATATGTGTATGAGAGAGACAAACAGAAAGACATACAGAAAGAGACAAAGATACAGAGAGAGATTTTTTTTTAGAGATAATACATTTAAAAATAAATTTCAGGGGCAATGTACAATAGCCTGAAATTCACAGATACATATGTTCTTCTGGGAAAACTTTTAAGTGTTTAGTTACTAGCTATGTGCTCAGAATTGTAGATAAGGTACATGAGGGATACAAAATATAAGATGCATTCACTCTTTTTACCCAGCTTCTACACCTAGAGGAAGAACTTTAGATAATAAGGGTTCATTAAACAGGAGAATAATTATGTTATAGATTGTGTGGTATAATACATACTTATTAATTCAGTAAAAATAGGGATAAGAACCAAAGAATATTAATTTAACTAAAGAGTATTAGCGTTTTATGGACAGAGTGGGATCTGAAATAGGTCTTTATAAAAAATTTTGAAGGAAATTCTAGAAAACTAGTAAATGGCAGGAGGTTAAAAAAAAAAAAAAGAACTTGGCATATTTATGAGGAGAAAAATTACCTTGACTTAAATAGCAGTTGCACTACAAAATAGCCAGGTTAACTAGTTAGGGTGCCAGATTACAGGCAGCCTTCAAAATGAGAGAGATATAAAACAAAAACCATGTGTTCACTTTCTTTATATTCCAAATAGAATTATTTATATCTACTTTTAAAGTGTTCCATTTATCATTTTATGTGTGTGTGTGTGTTTATTTTAGGCAAGACAATACCTGGTTGACCTCACAGACTGCAAGGACTTTGTCAGCTTACAATCCCTTATTTTTTATTTTTTACTCTTATAGCACTTGGTCTCCCATCCAAGTACTAACCAGGCCCAACTCTGCTTAGTTGGGCCTGGTTAGATGGGATTGGGTTTGTTCAGGGTGACATGGCCATAGGCTCATTCTCTTATATTTAAAGCAAAGACCAATTTATCTGAACAACCATAGGCATTATCATTCCCAGTGTTCATATCTGTAGTCAAAAAACCTATCGTATTGCTCCCAAATACAAAGTTTATCCATTCAAGAGCCAGAATAGGAGAAAACAACACTTAAAACACCAAGATTCTGGTATAAATTAACAACTACTTTTACCGTTTTGTCTTCAATTTCCAACTCAAGACCTGTTTTTCTGAGATTTTCTTCAAACTCTTTTCTTCTTTCCTATGGAAAAACAAATCAATAGAATTATATAGAACACTTTTATTTACACAATGATAGACTTGTTACACAATGACTGTGCCTCCAGATGATCTTCTGCCCTTCTCGTGGTTGCATATAAAAGTATTTATTATCCCCATCTTCATTCCATGTACTGCTTTCAAGTGGACTCTAATTCACAATATAACTATAAAAATCCAATATATCTTGGAATAATCTCCAGGAAATGTATAAGATCTCTATCAGAAAAAAACTTTACTAAATAACATAAAAAAAAAACTTGATAAACAGAGACATATCATGCTCCTTCTTAGTTGGGGAAACACAGTATTACAAAGATATAAGTACTCTTCAAATAAATGATATATTTAATGCAATTTTAAGCCAAAATATCATCATGACTCTTTAATCTTGAAGAATAGAATAGCTTCCTTCAGAAAAAAATTAAATTAAATTAAATGCAAATAATCATTACTCGTGGGATCCGAAATAATACATTGATTGTCAGAAAATCTTTTGGTTTTAATTATGATTTAAGTGTGAAAAATTTCATAATAACTGAAATTTTAAAAGGCTTCATTAGGATAAGACGGTCATCTTCAAATGCATTTCTACTTTGAGATATCTTCAAACTTAACAAGGAATAAAAGATAATTGTAATGTCTTCTTTTTCTCCACTTTCAATGTTTACTACATATGAGAACGGACCTATGATAGTGGTGCAAGTTCTCCTTTCTCAGCTACCCTTTCATAGCAGCCCTTCTCCTATGTTACCAAAGTAAGGTGCACAGGAAACCAGAAAAAGGGGAGAGGGACGTTAAAACTATCTTAATCAGTACTGAAAAAGTGAGTAATTCTTCTCATTGTAGTAACAAATGTTTTTGTAATTTAGATAGTTGTCAATTCTGAGTTCAAAAAAATTAAAGGGAGGGCTAATAGGATTGTTAGTTTACAGACCATTAAACATTACTTTTATGATGAATCACTTCTCAATTTGTATAATCGAGTTAAAAAAAAGATTAAAACTGCTAAAACAATACTCGATTCCAATCTACTTATTTATCTGAAAAAGCTTTATTCACACTAACATATATAAAAAAACAGCAATTATGTACTCATACAATTGTAAAAAAATTCAACATGAAAAAGCGTAAGGCTTAGACTGTTATAGTTAAAGAAATTAAAAACATTTCAATGTAAATACATATATTCAATGTAAATACATATATTAGTAGGAACTTGTGACTGAACAAAAATAAATAACTATCAAAGATAAAACATTTACATTAGGAAAAATTTATGTGGGGAAAGTAGAAAGAAAATTTTAGGTGAAGGAGAAAAATAAATGATATAAAATTTCAAGTGTTAAAAAGGGTTTCTACACATAATTTATTTTTAAATGGATGATGTTGGGTGTCAAATTTCCATGGCATTTACTTTCTATGGATATATGCTAAAAAGTGATTTAACTGGACCATTTACAATAAAGTATAAGTTATAAGCTTTGCTGTTAATATATGTGATGAATAATAGTAGATGAGGAAGACTTTTAGATGGATCAGGCTTTTCGGGCAAATTCAAGAATTCATTTTATACCTGCCAAGTCTGAGATGTCTATGAGATTTCCAAGTGAAAATACAGAATTGTCATAAGGAAAAGATGTATGGACCGGAAAGGCAAACTTTGGGATCAGTACCCACAGGGTTTTAAACCTGTGAGACAAGATGTATCATCAAAGAAATCAATGCAGATTGAGAAAAGAAGAGGATTAGGAACTGGGCCCTAAGGCATGACAATAGTAAGGGATCAGGAAGAAGAAAAGATTGAGAAGGAGCAACTAGTGAAATAAGAGAAAAACTAAGAGAATGTGGGGTCCTGGAAGCCAAGTGAGGACACAGAAGGGAATGATAAACTGTAGCAAATGCTGCTTATAATAGTTCAAGTAAGATGAGGGTTGTGGCTTAATCACTGGTTCATTTATATGAATATCAGCAGAGTGGTTGAGATAGAGCCCTGATAAAAATGGTTTTAAGAGAAAACTGATCAGAAGAAATTTGAGAAATGAACAGTAGCTGGCAGGGAAACTGACTGAGGGAAAGTTTTTGTTCAATTTTTTTTTTTTTTTAATATGGAAGAATTAACAGCTCATTTGTTTGTTCAAAGAAATGGTCCAGTATAAAACAACGCACAATATAATTTAGTAGAGAGAGGAAAGACTTGTAGGAGCAATATTCCAAGGCAGATATACAGAAAAGAGTTAATACAATAGTCTTGAAACTGCTATCCTTAGAAAGCGAGATTGGCACTGGTGTCTGGGAACCTCGTTGTCTGGAGGGTTCCCTCCATTCCCAGAAATGATAAAAGTCACTCACTTTACCTTAACTGTATAAACAACGTAGTTTATGTTAAACAACTAGGATACATTCCTAGAAACATACAATCACCCAAGACCAAGTCAAGAAGAAACAGAAGATCTGAACCGAACGATTACCACCAATGAAATCGAATCAGTAATCAAAAAACTTCCAAAAATAACAAAAGTCCTGGACTGGATTGCTTCATTGGAATTTTACCTAATATTCAAAAAAGAATTAACATCTATATTCTTCTCAAACTATTCCAAAAAATTCAAGAGGAAGGAATGCTTCTTAATTCTTTTTATGAAGCCATTACCTTGATTCCAAAACCAAAGACAATACAAAAAATGAAAACTATAGGCCAACATCCCTGATGAACACTAATTCAAAAATCCTCAACAAAATACTAGCAAACCAAACTCGACAATACATTAAAGATATTATACACCATAATCAAGTGGGATTTATTCCTGGGATGCAAAGTTGGTTTAATATCTGCAAACCAATTAATGTGATACACTACATTAACAAACTGAAACATTAAAATCATATAATCATATCAATAGATGCAAAAAAAGCATTTGACAAAATCTAGCATCCATTTATGATAAAAAACTCTCAGCAAAGTGGGAACAGAGGGAACATACCTCAATAATAAAGTCTATATATGACAAACCTACAACTAACATTATACTCAGTGGGGAAAAGCTAAAAATGTATTTCCTTAAGATCAGGAACAAGACAAAGATGTCCACTTTCACCACCTCTATTCAATGTAGTTTTAGAAGTACTAGCTACATCAATCAGACAAGAGAAATAAAAGGCATCCAAATTGAAAAAGCAGAAGTAAAACAGTCATTATTTGCAGATGATGTGATATTAGAGAGAACCCTGAAGATTCCACCAAAAAACTGTTAGAATTGATAAATAAATTCAATAAAGTAGCAGGATACAAAATTAATATTCAGACGTTAGTTGCATTTTTATACACTGATGATGAACTATTGGAAAGATAAATTAATAAAACAATCCCACTTACAATTGCATCAAAAACAATAAAATACCTAGGAATCAAATTAACCAAGAAGGTAAAAGACTGGGTTTCAGAAAATTATGTCATCGAAAAAAGAAATAGAAGAAGGTACAAATAAATGGAAGTATATACTGTGCTCATGGGTAGGAAGAATCAACATTGTTAAAATGGCCATACTACCCAAAGCAATCTATAGATTTAATACAATCCCTATCAAAATACCAACGTTATTTTTCTGTGAACTAGAAAAAGTAATCTAAAAACTTATATAGAACCACAAAAGATCCTGAATAGCTACAACAATCTTGAGAAAGAAGTACAAAGTCAGAAGTATCACACTATCTGATATCAAACTATACTACAAAGCTATAGTAATCAAAACAGCATGGTACTGGCATAAAAACAGACACATAGATCAATGGAACAGAATAGAGAGCCTAGAAATAAATCCATGTCTATAAAGTCATTTAATATGATGAAGGAGACAAGAATATACTATGGCGTAAAGACGGTCTTTTCAACAAATGGTGTTGGGAAAACTGGACAGACACATGCACAAAAATGAAACTGGACCACTTTCTAATACCATATACAAGAATAAACTCAAAATGGATTAAAGATTTAAATGTAAGACCCAAAATGATAAAACTTCCAGAAGAAAACATTGGTAGTAAACTCTCTGATATTGCTACTGGTAATTTTTTCTGATATATCTCCTCAGACAAAAGAATCAAAAGAAAAAATAAACAAATGATATTACATAAAACTAAAAAGGTTTTGCGCAGCAAAGGAAATCATCAACGAAATGAAACGAAAATCTACTGAATGGGAGAAGATATTTGCCTACAATACATCTGAAGAAAGTTAATATCCAAAATTTATAAAGAACTCAACACCAAAAAAATCAAAAGATCCAGTGAAAAATGGGCAAAAGACCTGAATAGATATTTCTCCAAAGAGGACATGTAGATGGCCAATAGACATGAAAAGATGCTCAAGGTTACTAATCAGAGAAATGCAAATTAAAACCATAATGAAATATCACCTTAAACCTATCAGATTGGCTATCATCAATAAATCAAAAATAAATAAATCAAAAAACAATAAATGTTGGCAAGGATGTGGAGAAAAGGAAACCTTCATACATTGCTGGTGGGATTCCAAATTGGAAAACAGTTTGGGGTTCCTCAAAAATTAAAAATAGAACTACCTTTTGACCCAGCAATTGCAATTCTGGGTATTTATCCAAAGAAAACCAAAATACTAGTAAAGATCTATGCCCCCCTATGTTCACAGCAGTGCAATTCACAATAGCCAAGATATGGAAGCAACCTAAGTGCCCATCAATAGACGATTGGACAAAGAAGAGGTGGTACATATAAACAATGGAATATTACTTAGCTATTAAAAAAAATAAAATCTTACCATTTGCAGCGACATGGATAGACCTAGAGAGTATTATGCTGAGTGAAATAATACTTTCAGACAGAGAAAGATAAATACTATATGATTTCACTTATATACAGAATCTAAGGAACAAAAGAAATGAACTAAATGAAAACAGACTCACAGATACAGAGAACTGGAGATTGCCACATGGGAGGGTGGGGTGGGGCTGGGTGAAAAAGGTGAAAGGATGAAGAGGTACAAATTAGTAGTTACATAATAGTCATGGGGATTTAGAGTACAGCATAGAGTATATAGACAATATTACTGTAATGGTTGTGTGTAATGACAACCAATAGTAAATTGGGGGGATCGCTTCATGGATTTTATAAATGTCTAACTTCTAAAATTTCAAATAAATAAATAAATAAATAAATAATGAGTAAATAAAGAAAAATAAACATTTGATTTCCTTTGAGGACTATGAAATGTTGGTGTATGCTAGACGGAAGATGACAAAGTGATCAGCCTCCAGTAAAACCCTAGGGCACTGAGTCCTTTATGATCTTCCCTAGTAGACAACACTTTACCTGTTACCAGAGGAATTAAATACATTCTGTATGATACATTCTGTATGTCTCCACTGAGAGAAAGCTCTTGTAAACTTACTCCTAGTGTCCTCTAGACTTTGCCCCATGTATCTTTTTCCCTATGCTGGTTTTGCTTTGTATTATTTCACTGCAATAAAACTCAGCCATTGAGTAGGACTATATGAGTGCCTCTAATAAATCACCAAACCTGGGGGTGGTCTTGGTGACTCCTGAATAGTAATAGAGTGATTACATTTGTCGACATGAGATTTAAGCTGGATAAGCAAAGGGAAGCTGTGGATATGGAGCAGTGGTAAAAATGTGGTTAAGATAATTGTATCTTATCAGGTCCTGGTGCAGTTGAAGGAAGAAGGGTATTGGTCAGAAAGATTCGAGGGTTTGGTCAGACATACAGATGCCTGGAATGAGATTATAAAGAGTCATAGATTTTACCAAGGATAAGTTTTAGAGGAGTGAATGGCTGAGTTAGAGACTATGAAAGTTACAAAAGGGAGTTCAAGGTACAGAGAGGTTAAGATGCCAAAATAATCATCTATATATGCATGGGATTACCAATCATTAAAAAATAAATATTAGTATAGAGAGTGAGAGTGAAACAGAAACAAAAATGGAAGATCCAGGAAGATTAAGGACAGCAACAATGCAGGGCAGTGACAACTCAGATGAGATTTAAAGCTCAAGAACTTTAGAGATAAGGGAGAGAGAATAGACTATAATCAACAAAAAGATATAAAAAGGGCAAGCATTCACTCATCTCCAGAAAAAGGCTGTGTAAAGAAAAAATAACCACCACTTGAGAAGACTGCTGGGGAAGGCAAGGAACCTCAAGGAAGAGCCAGGTGTGAATGGGACATTCAGAGAAGAGATAAAAATTACGAAAGTGAGTAAATTTCAGAGGCCTGGTGGAAGAGTTTCCAGAGAAAAAGTGGAAGAAAGGAACAAAATTAGTATGTAAAGGGTCTTATGGGGATAATATCTATAGTTTTTATTTTTATTTTATATGACATTTATTTCTTATGTATGTGAGTAAATGTGTGTATATGCTTACACATATGAGTTAATATATTAATTCATTATTTGAAATATCTAATATTTATTGAGCATTAATTATGTTCCAAACACTGTTCCAGGCATTTGAGAATACAGCAATGAACAAGATAAAGTTCTTGGTCTTATAAACTTAATTTATGGTGTTTGACACAGTCAACAAGTATAAAAATAAATAAGTTCAGAAAGTGACATGTGATAATGAAAAGATAGAATATAAGGTAAAAGCTATTTCGGATAGAGTGGATTAATGAAAATTGATATGAAAATTGCATACAAAAGATACATATTATATTTAGATATACAACTCAAATTTTAGAGGTCACATTTAATATTTAACGATATAAAAATATTAAAATATATTAAAAAAATACATCAGTATCTTGGAAGAAGAAAGTTAGTGTCCTAAATGTCCAAAAAATAAAACTGATTTCACACATTCATTCTTAGGCTGCCTGTTTTGTAGTTGCCTCATTCAGTTTCAGCTTTCAGTAACACTTCAGAAGTCTTCGACTTTTACAACATAATTCAACGGGAACATCCCTGTTAAACTACAGAATGTGCTCCTGTTTATTATTCCCATCTCTCACGTAAGTACTTACCGCTTTTACGTCTGTGTCTTTCTTTATTTCATCAACATAGGAAAGCACAAAATCAATTTGCCTAATTCCATCTCGAAAGAAGATAGAATCTTTGCTTTGTTTATCTTTTCTAAACTGTAGGAGACATAAATGACACGAGTTTAAATTATAGTTTTATTTTCAAATGGCAAAAACCTAATAAGGATTAGCTAAACTTTTGTCACTAATTTTTCTCAGTTCTGCAATGACAGGTGAAGACAAATAACCAGAGTTTTCATTAACAGAAAATTATGCTCATTTTAGAAAATAAAATTCCATAAAGGATATATATATATACACATATATATTAAATAATACTCAAGACAAAACTATTAACAACACGCACACACAGCAAAAATGATGCAATTATACATACCAAAATAGAAAATGAATATATGTATATATTGATCCCAAAATGCATATTCAGAGACTTGTTATCTTCATTAGACAACATGCCAATTAGTTCAAAAAATAATTCATGGTAACACACTACTTTGGGGATATAATTACAGACCAATTAATGAATAGCACTATAAAAAGTAAACTTGTGATTAATGCTTAGACCAAGATTTCATGAGATTGCCACTTACTAACTCAACTTTTGAAGGGTTAAAATAACATAAACATGCAGTTAAAAATTAGGAAGCAGGTAGCTTTCCACTGGCTTCACTATAAGTAATCTCTCATGCAAATCTCCTTTCAACATTAATTTATTAGGTGAGCCAAATCAATCCTTTGTTTAAAGTTGTGTGATCAATTCTCTCAGAATCAGACTTGCAAATTCAATGTTCACATGTTGTATAGGTCATTAGTTCTTTCCCTTTCAAAACTGCAAAAACATTACAGAGTTGCAGAAAGAAGGAATTTCATGTTTGCGTGATTTGGTCTTCTTCATAGTTCATATGTAATATATAATACTTAGTATTTGGAATTTTCCACATATAATACTTAGAACGATGCAAATAGAGGATGCAGTAGATGTCAGTGATCTCTCTAACTCTGTGATGTAAAGTTATAGATAACTGTCCAACTGCTTGAATGGGGAACTAGATGTATTAAATTTTCATAACTGACATTTATATTAATTTATGAGTTTATTTTATGATACTTTATGCTGTTTTTCACCCAAGTCAAGCACAACAGTTCTCCCATAAAAAGGAATCATTGTAGAACAGTCATGTACAAACAAGACAAAAATCTCATGTATGATCTGTGGCCTATGAACAGAGTAACTGTATTTTACCTATGTGAATGCACAGAGGATGTCTCAGAAAGAAGTGGCTACCAATACATAGGAGGAAATGAGTGGACAAATGGACAAATAAAAAACATTTAGGGAGTCTAATAATTAAATATTAAAATACAGTAACTCAAATTTTATGTCTGAGTTCTCTGTACCCCAGCCAAAGGACACAAAATTATCTCCCTTTTCCTAAAAGAAAGTAAAAGAACCTGAGAAAACTCAAACTGTTATGTTATACCTTGATTATAAATCACTAAAAAAAGCAAAAGTAAAGAAAACAAAAAATAATTTGAGTTCTCTTGTAAATCATAGTATTAACATATGAAATCCATCAAAATGTGTGGAAGCCAACTAGGGAAGAAAAAAAATTAATTAGACTAAATATAATCAAAGTAAAAAATGAGAGAGAAAAAAACAATAATTGTTTAGGCCTAAGTCTGTGAAAGCCATATTTTGCATGCTAGAATATTTCATAAAAAAACAAGAGATTTACATGTGCTCTTACTGTTTGGACAAGCTAAATCTAGGTCCACATAGAGTTCTGATGACAGAAGATGTGCACATAAAAATAATAAAAAGTCACACTCGAAGTATTTGACTATTTAGGAATAAACAAAGTACCTAGAAGACTAGTGACTCCAAAAATTTTCCTGAGTGTTCAGTCAAAATGAGTATGTATACTTCTCTTCCCCCAAAAGCCAAAGGCTACCTAGGAAAACCCAAACTACTATCATTATGTCCTGCTCTCACTATAAACTGTAACATTTTTTAAAATACAGAAAAACCACTGGTAGCCTTACAAATCACCATCAGGTGCATGTCAGCTCTGTTTAGAAAAGAACAGCTGAAGCCAACGGGGGCAGAAAAACTTGATAATTTTTTACATATATCCGAATACTATGAAAACCCATCATTCTTTTGTTTTGCCCAAGACAATGACATTAAGATCATATTTTTCAATGTGTATATGAGTTTGTATTTATATTTGCTTTGTTCATATAAATGCCTATTTATAATGAAGCAAACATCTGGGTGGCTTTTCTTTGAATGAGGTAGTTATTCTGAAGTTCACAGACCTGGATTCCTGATGAGGGTTCGTAAACCTCTAAAACTGTATGTAAATTGCAAGTGTGTATGTATATGTGTGTATATATATGTGTGTGAGTATGATACATACACACATAATTTTTTTAGAAAGAAGTTCCATAATTTTAATTGGATCCAAAAAATATTAAGAATCACCATTCTAAAATCTCGATTGCCTGTGGAATAGAAATCAATAACAAAGTCCCCTCAAAACAATACTATTCATTGGATTAAAAATGACTCGGATTGTCACTGCAGCCATCCAGAGCATAAGCAGCATCATTCAGCACTAGTTTTACCATAAGTCGTCGCTTCAGGAACAAATTGTATCGGTTTGCAGGCTGTGAAGCAACAATCAATAGAGAATTAGAAAATCCTGCCCAGGATTAAAGATTCCCCCCAAACAGACACGCAAACAAACAAACCCTCAGTATAATCACTCAGGTGAATATGAATGTGTATGCATGTGTGTAATATTTAAAGTTAGAAGATTGGAGAAGTTAGAAAAAAAGGAAAGAAGAAAAATAGAAAGAAAACAAGAAAGAATAAAGGAAAGAAAAAAATGGTGATGGGAGGAAATTTAACTTTGGGTGGTAAAAACATAATGCAATATACATATATTATTGAATTGTACACTTGAAACCTATATAATTTTAGTAACCAATGTCACCCCAATAAATTTAATTAAAAAAGACTTCAAAGTAAATTTCTTTAAGTAACTTTAAATAACACAGTAACTTTAAATAATAACATATTTGTGGAACTAAAGCAGAAATGGGAGAGATCAAATAATAATGAAGAAAAACAGAAATAATGGAAATGTAAAGTAAAATAGGTATTGTGTTAAGAATGAGTCTCTCTCTCTCTCTATATATATATATGTATATGTAAACATACACACAATATATATATATATAATATATACATCAGGCAAAGAAAGCAAAATTAATATAATTATAATTATACTGGCACATATGGTATGGAAAGTTTACCCAATAGTGTAAAATATTTCATAGCCTCCCAAAATATTGGGAGAAAAAAGGAAAATTCATTTAATTATTTAAATGCTGAGCAGTCTTCAATCTTCAGTTACCATGGCTGTTATTTTTAAAACACCAAGGCAATTATCTAAAAATGTCTGGAATAATCAATAATATTTGAAAGAAAACCAAACCTATGGCACAAAAAAGCAAGTAGGTGTATATTTTGTAGTATTATAAAATGATAAATAATCTAATAAAATTATCAATAAAGACTTTCAGTTCTTGTCATGCAAAGTTTTGCTTAGACTGTTGTTTTCCTGGAATAGGCTAACGATACCTAAGCAACTGGTGACTATTGCAGCAAAAACCCCTGCTCTGTAAAGTGATGAGCCTACTATGTATAGGTGAGCTAATATTGCTGTTATTTAAAAACACAACAGATACAAGAAAGATGTTGGTCATTGTATAAAGCATATTTTAAACTGTATTATTCTGTTGGGCTAAAATTTTTCACCTCAGCACTTTGATTTTCTTGGGATCTTTCATGAGATTCACAAGTTACTGTTTTCCTCAGATGTCTTCCCTAAATTCATTACAGAATTGTTAAGGGAGATGAACAAATTGTACACTAAGGAGCCAGTCAAGGCCACATTATGACTTTTATTGGGTCCTGGCCTGTTTGCCTTCGTGGATCCCTTCCTCCATTA